GATAACAGATGTGTAAGTTTTGGTGCTTGTAGTCGTGCGCCGAGCCCAGGTTTAGTGATTGCGATATTAGCGTGTAACATATCTTCCCCTTTTAATATATCAATGAAAAATCATGGAAAGTTTTCCTTACAAAATATCTTAAAACATTTACAATGCTAATTTAAGTGAAAAAAATTGACTATTTCTTTTATTTTTCTTAACATACTTCAAAAACTAGCACATTGATACTATTTTTTTTAATACTGTACTAATACTTAAGGATATTACTTACAAATTGACATTAAAATTATTGTTCTTAATTGCATAACTCGAGAGTTAGGGCTGTTTGAATATGACCCTTTTGCGACGGTCCCAAACCCATGTAGAGCTACCTGCTACATTGAATAGGGTTTATGTGACAAGGACGGAAAATGATTTGTATTATTGTTAGGCGATGAATAAGTAGGACAAAAAATCATGTTTGACCAGCGCAGGTATCGAAGACATTCACTTAAGATTGTCGCAATATGGCATCCAAAGGCCGCCAAATGAACGCTCCCGCATAGTGTCAGTGCAAGCAGAAGAAGAAGTTCTTCAATTAATTTACCGAGATCCCAGGCTCAGTGTAAGGCGAATAGCAATGATGCTGCATTTGTCAAAATGGGTTGTGTGGATAATTTTAAAACGCGAAGGCATGCATCCGTACCATTTTCGTCGCGTACAAGATATTCTTGAGCCAGACTATGCTGTGCGAGCCACTTTTTGCTCGTGGCTCAACGGTTGTGTGCGACGTCAACCGACATTTTGTAAAAAAATCATGTGGACCGATGAGGCGACTTTTACAAGAGCTGGTATTATAAACCATAGAAACCAGCATTTATGGATGCAAGAAAATCCAAATGCAGTAAGGCCCAGTAAATTTCAACATGAATTTTCAGTAAATGTGTGGGCGGCTATGATTGATGACAAATTAATTGGACCAATTGAATTACCAAATACAATGAATGGCCTAAGATTTTTAGATTTTCTAAGGAACACATTTAGATAAACCATGGAGGAATTACCAGTGATCAACCGAAAGCGCATGTGGCTACAGTTGGACGGTGCATCAGCTCACTACGCACGTGCTGTGAGAGCTTTTCTTAATGAAAATTATTCACCATGGATAGGACGTGGTGGAACGGTAGCTTGGCCACCTCGCTCTCCGGATTTAACACCTCTGGATTATTTTTTATGGGGATGGATGAAGCAGAGGGTTTATGCTACAGTCCCAAATAGCAGACAAGAACTGCTCGACAAAATAATGACGATTGCGGATGACATAAGATCCGACATAGTCTTAATATCAAGGGCCACACAACAAATGGCTGTAAGGTCAGTAGCCTGCCTACAGAATAGAGGTGGACATTTTGAACAATTATTAAATTAATAATAGTACTTAATGCCATTAAAAGTTTCTTAAAAGTTATAGTGTATTTTTATTTAATCCATTATCGAAAATTAATAGCGCTCATATGAGGCTCTACATACATGACCCTCGCAAAAGGGTCATATTCAAACAGCCCTAACTCTCGAGTTATGCAATTAAGAACAATAATTTTAATGTCAATTTGTAAGTAATATCCTTAAGTATTAGGACAGTATTAAAAAATTTAGTATCAATGTGCTAGTTTTTGAAATATGTTAAGAAAAATAAAAAAATAGTCAATTTTTTTTTACTTAAATTAGCATTGTAAATGTTTTAAGATATTTTGTAGGGAAAACTTTCCGTGATGTTTATTTTTATTTGATAGATGCTATTTTTACCTTTTAAATAACATTTTTTTTACATCTGTAGGACCTCTCTGTCCAGAGAAATCTGCATCTTTTGGCAGAGGTATCTACAAGAATAAAAAAAAGTTAAATGGCGGCCATTCCGACAGGAGGGGGGCGTAGACCCCTATATATGGGTGTTTTCGTCGATGAAATTAGGTATATTTTGTAACTTTAAATTATCGCTAGGTCGTGACCAGACACACTGTATATATATATATATATATATATATATATATATATATATATATATATATAATAAAGCCGAAACTAAATATGGAATAATGTAAATCTAAAAAATCCCTTATGTAAATCATAAATTGTACAAACTGCGCCACTTCGACATGTTCAAAATGTTCTTTTTTAAATCAATCGAATCAGTTTTATTTTAAAATCACCCACATGTTAAATTTTCAAGTAACACTCAAATAAAAAATAATTTCATAGTCCCATCTACTCCTTTATTAAATCTATATCCTACTTGCGTTCTATCTATTTAAATACTCGGGCCTAACCTCGCTAATTCGTTACTTCAACCTCACTCTCGTTAGATGGTGTTCACATTGATTGTGTAAATTTGTGCGTGCATCATCCGAGGTCATTTGGATCTTGTCCCTTAAACTCAAAAAAGACGATGTACGTATGGTTTCATAAAACAAATGCCTCCTGTCTGAAGTTTTGTAAAAATGCTTGAAATCCGTACTGTTCATGTGCGTCTCTTATGCGGGTTAAGATTATAAAATATGTCGGTGTACTTTTTGACGAAAATCTGCGATTTAAATCGTACATACAAATATGTTTTCTAGGTACAGATACCGTGTTGCTAACACATCGCACCGTTTACAGTGACGCCAGTTTTTAATTCACGTGTGCGTGAGTACCACGTGACGCCCATATCTTACGTACCATGCCTGCATTAGTGTGCGTGACTTCGGTAATAATAGCGCGAATCGATTGCCCAAAAATTTGGGAGATTTTATATTTCATTCAATTTGACATAACTGAGTGTAAAATATGTGTGCGAGGCGTATGTATTTTTGTACGTATGTGAATGGGGATATACACACACAAGGGATATGGGTGGTTATGTGTGTTTTATGTAGGTCTGTACGAAAATCGCACTAAAATAGTGAAGATAAGTAATAAAAAAATAGATACAATTAATGTAACAGTTAAAAATAAATCAAAAATCAGATTAGATATTTATGTATCTAACATATATTGAACTAATCTATTATTATTGAATATATATAGAGTACTACACTTTCGTACCTTAAAACCCAAAATATTGACGCGAAGACATTAATTATTTTTAATCTTAAGTAAAATGACGTACAAAAGTAAGTTTGGTTAAGTGTAAACTTCGGCCAAGTGATAGCAAATGTTTATTTTTTTTAAATTTCATATATCGATACAATTTCATTACTACATCAAATCATTGCGTAAAATCAATTAAATCCTGCCACTGGAAGACAATAAAAGATTGTGTGTTTAAAGGCTACATTTTGTACTGTAAAACCTGTAAATAAATAAAAAAATATATAAAATCAATGTTGATTGTGTATAAGTGCCCTTGACATGAAAGTGAATTGAACATTATATTATAATTATATAATAAACAATAATATAACATAATTATATAACAAATAATAATATAATATAATTATTATAATAATATAATTTAATCACACAACTAAAGCCCTCATTAGTAATGTAACGGTAAAAGAATTTTCAAAATCAGTCAAGTAATTTTTGAGATAAGCCAAATAAAATATATTCATGGAAAGTAGTGCCATCTATAATAAAATACATCCTACATTAGACATCTTTAATTATACATAACATTCTAGTGGTAAAAGAATTTTCAAAATCGATCAAGAACTGTACGAGTTTAGCTAAAAAACATATTCGTTGATGGTAGTGCCCTCTATATCAAAATACATCCTACATTTCACAGTCATAATAGCATTCTAATGGTGAAATAATTTCTTAAATAGGTCAAGTAGTTTTTGAGCACCATTCCAAAAAGCGATTCAGCTTAGCCAACCGCACACACAGTAAAATCATAACCATCCTTTTTCGTTTGTAGTCGGATATACAACCGGTTCACAACGGTTGCGTATCGGCTGCTTTGGATAAATAACCGTTGTCAACTGTTGCTTTACATCTATTAATGACATTAAAATAGGGAAAAACATTTCATACGGTAGGCAACACTCGAATATTATTGCGCAGTATTATTACTTGTATTGACATTCAGCTGTCGTATTATTTTATCAAGAAATATACCAAAAAATTGTATATTTACTTATGAAAAGTGATGTTCTTATCTTTTTCTTTTTTCCAAGAGTAATTTTTACATGATTTCACAGCACAAACAGTCATTTTCCGAAATTAAAAACACTGGTGCGTGATGTATGTTCGCAGTGAACGTCGCTGGCATAATGGCGGAACGATCGAACGAATACGCCAATATTGGCGCCTTTTAAATGGAAGCGTTTTAGGCGCGCGTACCCGGTATCTGTACCTATAAAACATCTTTGCGTACATAGAAGTTTTTTCAAACCGAGTCAGAAGGATTATCCATATAATGGGAAAGTTATATATAGTTAATATAACATTTCAGTTATATAAAACTTGGCTTGGTATTTGAAGTTTTCTTTTTTTTTATGTTCATAGATTTTAAGCAATAAGCAGTTATTTTATTGCCGTTTTGTGTATATTATGTTAATATAATCCGTCTGCTAAGGTGTATAAAAAACGCCTGATAAACTTTGCTCTCAGGTTTCTACGATACAGGCTTGCCTAGTGAGAAAACCTACAGAATTGTTTATTGTTTAATTTTTTCTCTTAATAAAACATTTCTAATTTTTAGGTTAATTCTATTTCGTTCATGGTTCGCTTGTAAATAAATACTATTTCAAAGTTGTGTGTTGCTAAGCCTACCTCTATCTGGTTACAATTGACAGTTATCACGTCACAACATGGTGCCAGGTCAGCTCATTACTATTTATATCGCATCTTGTACGCATTGTAGACTGTCTACTCGTTTATCCCTTTTCTTTTTATATATTATAATTCTTGTTTACGTGTTTGGACCGATGGCTTTAGCCCGGTTTGAGCCGGCCCATACGTGCAACAGCAAATGCTGCCGCGTGGCTCTACCACTGTCAAAATCATCTTAACCAAATAACTTTTTTATTTTCCAGGAATTTCTGGAGGCGTTAGTTTGGCTTATGCGTTGCGGCGACCACGCCCTCACGTGTCAGGGCTCCGCGTTGAAGTATCTCCCACATGCGATACCGCACGCCATCAAAATCTTTCCCGAAGTTGAACTCAGGTAAGTTATATATTCTTAATAAGTACTTTATAAATTAATCTGTGAAATGATATGTAGCTTTAAGAATCACTTAGGCTTACTCCCTTTAATATTTTTTTCATTTTTAACTTGCGTAATCTTGGCAATTTTTAATAATGTTACGAGCTTAAGGTTCGTGACAATAAAAACTGCTGATTGAATTACCAAAATTGACACTTTAATTACTGAACACCAATTAAAACTTAAATCACACTAATAATTATTCACACTTAACACTTTAGTTCACTTTATTTCACTCCGAAAGCTTCGCTCGTATCGCCAATTAAATACTGCCCTGGTCGCAGCCCTCAACGGATTTAAATAGCCCTTTTCCACCGAAACATCCAGAATATTCCAGCAAATACCGGTCCCGGCCGACTAGGTGAGGAAAGTTCGAGTGTGGAGTTTTCCAGAAAGCTTAGTTCTTCTATTCGATTCTAGATGACGCTGGAGGTGGAAAGTTCCAGCATGGAATTTTCTAGAAACCTCTCCTCGCTCTGTTCCCCGACACTAGATGGCTCTAGTGCCAGGTATTAGACATACACTAAGGCGCGCAACAATAAAGAAAAGTTTGATATTCAGCGGGTTGTGTGATATTTGTTTACGTGTGCAAAGATTCTCTAGGAAATAATAGAGATATATCAATTTTTTCACAAAAATATATACTTACCGAAGTATCGCATTGTCCTGCGATTTGACGGATGAAGTTTTGACGGCCGACTGATGGCAGTAAATCTCTTCAAAAAATTGAACTCTTATTTCACGGCATACCATACCATATTGCATTACATTCAACTGATGCGCTTATCTTTTAGTTGCGGTGCTATTATCGCGTACAGACTACACTATTTTACAACAGTGTTGTACGGTCTTAGGCGAGGACAATCAGAGATTCCTTTTACTGATACCGTGGCATTTTATGTTATAAGTCCTCATTGGCGATATCGCATCTGTATTTTAATTCTTAATCGAGGATAAATCCACAGTTCCATTTAAAAATCTAGTAAGTAATATGTTATTGTTTTTATTGTTTTTAAAAAAGATGAAAAAACGCCTGTAACTGTAATTAATTATCTATACAAATAAATAAAATTGGGTGCGTTTGGCAGAAAAAAAGCGCTAGCAACCGCTTGTAAGCAAAATGGCAAAACTAAACAGTTTTCGGCCAGGACACGTTTGCTAACTTCAGTAGTCACAATTCGCCATTTTGATTATTTAATTTGTTTGTTTTGAAGTAGAGTTTATAAGTTGTTTTGCAATATTAGTTTTAAGTAATATAATGACATGAATAAACATACACATGTTATTAAAAAATTCATGATTGGTAAGTTTTTAATATGAATACTTTACAAACATATATTTAAATTAAGTTAGGTTCCCCCGGTTAAAACTAACTTCGTGTCCTAAAGGAAAATAGCTACTTACGATTTGACAGCGCTTACCGCTTACGATCGCCATTTTGCTTACAAGCGCTTGCTAGCGCTTTTTTCTGCCAAACGCACCCATTGACATGTCTGTTTAAAATGTCAAAATAACAGCATAGTATACATGATACTTATAACAAAAGAAAATAGTTTTTAATAATTTTGTCTGTCTGTTTTTTTGTTCCGGCTATTTTTGAAACGGCTGCACTGATGTTGACCAGACTTTCACTTGAATATAGCTAATGTTATATCTTAAATCACTATATTTATAATTCATACACATGAATCATTCAAAGATTACTACGATTTAGGTGAAAACCAAGTGATAGTCGTTATTTGCTTTTGAAACCTTCGATCAATAATAGTACTAGATTAAGGATCATGAATAATAAGTCGCTTAAGTGGCCACGTTTGCACACATGTAAACATCTATTCTTACTATGAAATATAGGTAAAAGTTTTATAATATTAACAACTTCAGTTTATTATAAAATTTACCACTCAAACATAAAGTTTAATTATCATTGCATAATATGTTTATTTATAGTTCATAAAAGATATCTCGATCTCTGCGACAGCTGTCAGTAAAATCACGCCTATGAAGTCCTGAATTTCTTAGTAGTACAGACAGTAAGCAGTAACTGTCTGGGCATGCACTAATTAGATCGGCATGCCCATAAAGTATGAAATTGACAGGTTCTGTCTGTACTACTAAGAAATTCAGGACTTCATAGGCGTGATTTTACTGACAGCTGTCGCAGAGATCGAGCTATCTTTTATGAACCATAAGTCCTGTCATGGGAGAAAGATGTCGCTTGAAAATAAAAAGTCATAAGTACAAAATATTTATTTTAAAATGAAACTTTAAAACTAAGTAATAAGGGTAAAGACATTATATAGACAATTTCGTGTTTACTCTATTTTGGAACTAGACGCAGTTCTTGGTATTATATGTTTGTTACAATAATTGGTGCGTTGTAACAAACATCGGTCAAACAATCATAATGTTAACTAATTGAATTATATTTACTATTTAATTCTGTTTTATTTTGAGAAAGCACTTAATGATATAAACTTATCGAAAAAAATATATTCCTACCAAAATTATGTGTTACACAATTTTTAAAAGCATCTTCTATTAAATTATTTACACAGTTTTTAAAAGCGCACTACGGCATTTTGGCGTCTTAACGTTGGCTATGATTGGGCCATACTAATTTGAAATAAGACCACAAAAGTTTTTGTGATCTTATTTTTCGGGCCGTTTTTGAAGCGCTTATCGGGCATCTAGTTCTATTATTGATCGAAGTTTGAAACGGGGCAATCGAGATGTAGGTGTGTGTATCGGCATGTAGGTTTTCAAACATGTCATGACATTTGCCCTAACGTATCTTCAATCTGGATCGTATGTACGAAAGAGTTTATTGTAATTGTTCGCAATGTATTTGTTATGTATTAAAAGCAGATATATACTTTATATCAGTAATATGCTGGGCACCTGCCAACAATTGTCTCTGGCACCCATGTTTGACTGGCGAAGAATGTCACATGGCATTATGTCCGCCCTATGTTTACATTAAAGTTTTAAAATAAATAAAAGCAAATCGCAGCACTGACATTAGAAAGAAGAAGAAACAAAATAAATTTATTTAGTAACACATTGTAATAGGTTGTTTACAACAACAGCTAAAGTTGGTAAAAGGTATCCAACTCAGCATAGTCTTAGTAGATACTTTAATTCTGATCTTTCGTGGGTGAAAATAAAAAAATTACAAAAAATAAGCTTAGAAGTATTAAATAATGTACTGTACGGTCTTTACAAACCGCACATTTCTGCACATCAGCATTTTTACCTTAGTGTATCATTTTTCATTCTCATCAATTCAGCGCGCAATCATTTGCCGTCGCGCATTGTACTCACTATCAATAATATCAGAATAAATGCCATAGTCAGTTCTAGTCTTTATCATTTCTATTAACTTATAAGATTGTACAGCACAGTAGCTCGTAGATCTTAATGGTCCTTCGAGCTGAATTTGAACCAGCAACCTATGGATGGATGAATTTAAAAAAATGTTGTGCTGCTGTACTGTACAATCTTAGAAGTTGATAGAAATGATAAAGGCTTGAACTGATTGTGTAATTTTTCTGATATTATTGATAGTGAGTACAATGCGCGACGATGAATGATTGCGTACTGAATTGATGAGAATGTAAAAATTATACAATTAGGTAAAAAAGGCTGATGTGCAGAAATGTGCGCTTTGTAAAGACCGTACATGCTGCGGGGCGAAAGAAAGAACAGATGATGATTGATAGGTGATTACAAAATGATACAAGTTGATAATCATGAGGATACTAAAAAAAATGCTTGTAAATTTCAATTAAAAAACTTAAGAATTTCGTACTTCACTACACTGCACTAAGATCACTAAAACGTTTGTAAACTGTAGGCGACGTCGACTTATCCAGTGCGCGTGCACTCAGTTCACCCGATATAACGGCGATACCGCGGGGATCGACGGATGCTGCTTGCTCTGTGTTAGGGCTCGCGCCAATTAACTGTACATTTAAGCCAACTGATCTTTCGCTTTGAGAGGCAAAACGAAAGATCAGCTTGTATACGTGCGGTGCATCTGCGGCGTAAGCTCCGCAAAGAAAATAATGCTGAGGCTAATATAGTTCCCAGTAGAAGATTATTAACCACATATTGATGTAGGTCGTGGTTTGATAACTGATCTGCCAACTTTGTGTCAACGTCACTTGTTTTCAGCTGCTCTATTTGGTGTCCAGTACTTGTTAAGTGTTTTCGATTCTCCTCATTCATTCCTTCTCGAGCCTTTGGAGAGGAATTGATAGGTCGATGACGTCATTGGAGGCATATCTATCCTTGCGAAGTCGGGCTTGATATTGTAATTATTGATCTGCTTTCTGCATGAAAATATTGTCAATGTTTCACTTTTAATGATACAGCCATCCTCAAGAATGATAATACCTGCCTTGCTAAGTTGTTGCGCTGTGAAATGATGCTTGCATATTATTTTTATCGCCCTTCCTACACTCACACTGGTTCTTTCTATTTAGTGTTAAGTAAAATGTACACAAATATTGAAACCATTACACATATATTAAAAATAGCATTATTTTCGATTGCATGTTTATCACTGACCTCTATATATACAGGTACGCTGGACAGGCTATAGACGTGACATGATGAAGCGATTTGATTTCCACCATTTTGGCGCTGACAGCAAAAGTGCACGTCCACGGAACTAATAATAGGGATAAGACAGTGTATCAAATTATATCGATAAAATTCTATACTCTACCTATACCTAAATAAACAGAAAGGACTCTATAGATAAATGGACTCTACCCGTAACGTCCATTCTATTATGTATCATATTAATATAACGCCATTATCATTCATCATCATTAAAACCAATTCACAAGTCCACTGCTGAAAATAGGCTTCCCCCAAGGAATGCCACAAATCACGTTCCTGAGCTACCTGAATCCATCAACTTTCTGCATGTCTTACCAGGTTTTAATTCCATCTAGTGGGGGAACGTCCTACACTTCACCTGCCGGCACGGGGCTGCCACTCGAGAACCTTTTCTCTCCTTCGGTATTCGGTTCTTCGAGCTATATGGCCGGTCAATTTCCACTTCAGCGTACTAATCCATTGGTCGATGTCGGTCACTCTGGTTCTGCTGCAGATATCCTTATTCCTAGGTTTGAACCCGTGAGCATAGCCCTCTTCATAGCTCGCTGAGCGACTTCGAGCTTCCGCAACGGCCAGCAGTGAAAGACCTCGTCTCAGATCCATAGGTCATCACTGGCAACACGGACTGGTTGTACAATATAGTTTTGAGGTATTCCTGACGAGAAGATGTGTTGTAATTTCACGAACGCTGCCCAGCGGAGTTGAATTCGTCGATTGACCTGTCGGTCGAAGTTGAACTTACCTCCCCGTCGGACTATTTGTCCCAAGTAAAAATACTCGTCAACAACTTCAGCTAAGTGCTCCCAAAAACCACCGGTATAGGTGTGACATGGACATTACACATGACTTTTGTTTTGTCCATGTTCATCTTAAGACCTATCCGTTGAGCATGAGATAGACACTATTGATAACCTCAATAGTGTCTATTGAGGTTATTGAACATAGTGTGTATGTCCTTCAGCGATTCTGCCATAAGGACTATATTGTCGACAAATCGAAGGTGAGTGACGTACATGCCATTGACGTTAATACCGTATCTATGGAGTGTAGAAGTAAGGAGTATAGACTGTGTATTAAAAAGTGTCCATAAAAACCATTAAATAAGGGTGACGCCACTATACGAGGTAAATTTTAAAGAACGCACCGAAAAATATTAGTGGGATAGACGAATTTTTCGAGGTTATATTTACTAAATAATATTATTTTAGATTTTAGAGCTACTGAGCAGTTTAGCACCACACCTAAACCGTCCGCTACATTTGCTAAGTTCATTTTATCCCAGTAGCTAATCCAGCGCTGTTGTGGAAAGTTATTGAGCTGTTATTTACTCCTTACAGATGGCCACTTTTTCAACTGTTCTACTATGAGAGTTGGTACTACTTACTTCTACACTCCATAACCGTATTCTTTCCAGTCCAGTAGCTTGAAGAGGTCTTCCAACGCAGCGGTAAAGTATTTCGGGGATATTACGTCACCCTGTCTTACACATCTCTACAGTTGGATTAGTTTTGTACTCTGGTTCTGTACTCGGATAGCCTTCGTAGCCCTTAGAACATTCAACTAAAAAATTATTAAGATTAAACTATCTACACCAAAAAAAAAAAAAAACATAATTTCTAAAATAATTTATTGTCAACTGTTCATTTAATTCTAGTATTATAAAGAAAAACAAATCAGCTGCTATAATAACGCTTATTCTAATCAACTTCAGGTCTGTATATAAACAGTATAATATTTTCTACTATATAAAAATTTATGTTTGTTCGTACTTTCTACGATGCTATACCGTTTAACAGATTGCGTTAAAACTTAGTCAACTTATTGGTTGCACTTGTACGAAGGTTATGCGCATGGTACAAGTAACTGACACTAAGTGGCGTGCGTATTATACTGACTATTTATTTGAAAGTTATAGAAAGTTATATATTTCAATCGTTGTATTATCATTCCTAATTATACAATATTTAGGAATGATACCACATTCTACACCACATTTAGGAATGTTCCACATTTTTAACGATATTTCCACAATTATTTCTTCTGCGGCAGCAATGCGGCAGGTACGAGCTAGCAAGATAATATAAAAAATAAACTTTGAATTACATAGTTATCAGTTATTTACTTCATTTTCGAAATTAAAATTACAATATTAAAAAAATAACTGAAATCATCATACAGTCCTACTTTCCGTGGTATCGTCCCAAGAATGCTGGCTACGTGTCTTCTGAATGGCTATACTTAGCTTTCAAGCGAGGAAGCAACAAACTAAACAACTTCTTATTACCAGCAGTGATGATCAGTCGCAGATACAGTTTTTTAGAAACTACACCGCACGTGCACCCTACGGACTATTAGTCTCTACAGCAAATAGCACAAATATGTACTCATACTATTACATGCCTGCAATTAAGAGAGAATTAAATCTCTAGATCGCACTTACTAAAACCCCATGGTGTTCTACCTTCGCCGCAAATTCGCAGGGCCACGGAAAGGCTTTCATGCACATCCGCGGCTCCTCTCGCGCCAGTCGCCCAATGGCAGCCCCTCCATTGTTGCCGACTTCTCCTCCCCGTTTTCTTTCTCAGATAAGGCGCATCAGAAATATAAGCCACACTGTCCTTCGCGGCCTCTAACTCCACCTGCACTACGGACTCCACGAACCCGATATGTGAATGGAGCCAGGGAAAAACGAGCACTTGGAAACATCAAGTGGTGCAGCCTCACTAAAGTCGCGAAAGATAGTCGAATGGCGCATCGCCAATCGCCATACCAACACTCCTTTTCCCTTACTACTCCACCTCAACTACAGCGGTACAGGGAGAGGAATCTCCTCTAGTCGCAGCCCACTAACACACATCCAACGTGGCTCGACATCAACAGGCGACCTTTCGACACTTGGCTATGGCCCTTGATTTTGGTGGAAAATGAGGAAAGAAGAAATAAAAAAAACATTCCAAATAATAATCTAATACTTTTATACTTACTGGTACTGATACTACCAGAAAATATATTCGGTATACTGCACTTTTTCAAAGTGGTGCAGTTCTCGTATATAATAAAACAGTCATCTGTGAAATGTTTGGAACAAATATGACCATTTTGTTTTGGACGCCAATTCACTATATTTATGCTTTTAAGCCATAATTTTAGTCTAGGTTCTGTTGGAAACCAGTTAATTAATAAACATTTGATAATTATCTGTTGTCAGTGACTTTGCTTGTTAACAGATATGAGTAGGAAAGAACATCGATAAGTATTATAGACAAGGAACTCGACAACCCTATTGAATGTTATTGTTTATCAAAACTCAGTAATATACAGCCAAACATGTTGGTATATATGATATTAAGATTAGTAACAAAATTTTAAGTACTTACATTATCAAATAGTTTTAATTTGTTAAATATTAGCTGCAAATTCACTTACTTGTGTAATGTTATATGGCTTCCCTTTTGGTTACGAGTTTTACGGATTACGCTCACTCTCATTATTATTAAAAATGATTCTTAATATGTAACTAATATTATACACAATCAAACAATATAAAATACTTTCATTTTTTTAGTATATAAGTTCAAATTACAGACTTTTTAAATATGACAATATAAATAAGACAGCAGACTGGCATATTATGTCAATTTTATTTTTCAAGACATCCTTTAGCGGCGCTTCAAATTGGCACAGTCATTTTGTATGGTATAGCCAGTCCAGCGTACTTGTATATATAGAGGTCAGTGATGTTTATGCATTATATGGACAAACGACCACACGCAGCAACAACGTAACGTAAGCGTACTGTTGTTTGTCCGTTTGACACGTGTCGGCGTGACGGTGGCGTGAGTGTTACCTATGTAAGGGTAGAGCCAGACTGGTTTTACGTACGCATCGTATGCACTGCAACGCCTCCTATTATTAGTGTACACAATTGACCTACGTATGCAACGTACGTGTGACACGTACGTCGGACACTGGTCGCTTCTTAGGACGCACGAATACAAATTTGTACCATTTTTGAAGTCAAAACTTTAGAATCATAATTTGAAACTCGATGAAACGAAAAAGCGATATTAAAAATAGACAAATACATCTATAGAATTTAGATTGCGAGGAAATGAGATAGGATGATACTCTGCATTTGTCTTATTCTATAGAAGCTTAGATTTCTGAAGGTTTTATTTCTACCGCGTGTGAATAAGACTGAGTTTGAGAATTTTATCTGATGTTCATAAATGAATATATTAACGTCACAAAGAAAACGTTTAGGTAATAATTCTATTAAAGTTTATGATTTACAATGCAAATAAATACATGGATATGTAGAGTACAATCTGTTATTTCCTCAATGTATAAAATCGTATTTCATATTTTGAATTGTGACTGGGGACACAAAAAATATATCTGCTTTTACGTTAATAATAAAATTGATAGCAGTAGCTGGATAAGAAATCACCATCTAGTTTTACTTTTTTTCCTATCATGTATAACGTGATGTAGTATTGTAATATAAAGCATATTTAATATTATAAATACATTCGTATTGTCTTACCAAATCGATGAGCTATCATCTCGTGCACAGAGGTCTATTCGTTTATAAGCTTAAATTCTATGAATGCACTGGTCGTACGTGTAGTATTGAGTACGAACGTCCCCTCTACCTTTTAACGCTGATCTGGACAACGCAGGTTGACGTTGCGTCTAAAGCGTACGATTGCGTTGCACACGATACGTGTGTTTCTAATGCATAGTTTTTCGTGAAAAAATGTAGAGTGCAGATGTTATAACGCGTTGTATACGTTGCGTACGTGGAAGCGGTGTGAGTGTAGCTGAATGCGTGCGTGTTTTGCGTGTGCAGCGCGTACTGCGTGATGGCGCTGGATGCGCTGCCGCTGGGGCGGCTCAGCAAGCAGCGGCTGCTGGCGCTGCTGGAGCTGGCGCGTGGCCCGCTGGCGCGCGAGCCGGCCGCCGCGCGCGCGCCTGTTGCCGCACCTCGCCGCCACGCTGCGGGCGCTGCTGCGCGCCTCAGCCGAGGTACGCACACACGTACACCCGCACATGTACACGCACATGCTCCGGACACCAGCGCACACACACGTGCACATGTACACGTACATGCGCCGTACACCAGCGCATACACACACGGTTCTTTTTGTTTTTTCATAAAACACGGTCTTCACAACCTATACATACGTACACCACACACACACACATAGATGAGACACGACACCCCTCACAATGATACACATGTTCAGTAGTGAACTTGTGTTAGACGATAACAATAATAACGACAACTTTTTAAAAGCTACACAACACAGTCCGTACACAATATGATAAGAGTTTTGTGTAGCTGTAAGAGCCGCATAGGCTAACAGCACCAACATCATCGAAATCAGGGACAATGCAAAAAAAATCACTTTGACATTTCTATAATTGGCAGTAATTCATTCTAACAAACACATGATGAAAACACAAACCGCATATTTACTTGCACATCCTCGAACATATGTTTATTTAACATATGTCCAAATTTGGACACAATTTCATTACTAAGTATTTATGTGAGACACTCTTACTTATAAAATAAACTTATACCAGAATAAACACATGCATAACATATAAACGTATACATCATACATAATTGTTTAGAAAATTCTGGAGTCACTCTAGTATAAATTAAATTAATATTACATACTTAATATAATAATAAATTTTCATAGAGATTAACGCTTTAAATCATCTAAATAACACACACACACACACACACACACACACATAACACTAATACAAGGAAATATTCATTTTTGAAATCAACTCGTAATAACACAAACTAATTTTTCTCCATACATACAATGTGGATTAACATTGTGTCCGTCCGTAAAACAAGTCACCTGTGATGGTATGTACGCACTTGCACTGTATCAATCAACCGAGCTGTTGCCGGTTCGCAACGGTCAAGTTTTGGGCGAGGTGTTTACATCTCAAACAGAAAATAAAAAACTATGTATAATAATAAAAAATATTGCAGCAGTTTACGTACGTTTAATTCGATGGAATTTTTTGGCGTTTGTGGCTTAATTCCTCAAAGATTTTATCACGCAATTCTCGCCCTTTACTTAACTGATTTAGAGCGAGAGCCGCTGGCAGTCGTTCGCGGTCGCTGGTCACGAGGTAAGCACGCATGCATGCATGATGTAACATAGTTTATGTTTGTACCGGACGCGATGAAAATTTTGGATTGATTTTAATTTAATACTGGAATAGAGATAAACGGCTTTTTGTTTCGATTGAACACTTTTTCCTTAGTTATAATTCAGGGTGTCAATCAGTGAATAAAACATTCATGTGACAAAAAAGACAATGTATTTCGATAACATTTTTGCCTTAGGGTACGGACAAACCAAATGATTGCACGATCTCTAAGGGATAGCGCCATCTATTGAGAGGTTTTAGAACTAATATATAATTGATGTTTGTCCTTTTGTAATTTATATTTGTAAACTACTACGATACAGGAGAAAATCCTAGTGTATGGGTAACGTTTTTTAAAAAAAAATTGTACTGAATACAGTGTTCGGATATTTATTTAACAACTAGACAATCAGTGTATGATATGAAACGCTGAACTTTCCACTCAAACATGAACTCTAATGACTACTAAGATGTTTTTGATATTATCCTTTTAATTCTATGATTTTTTATGAATATAATTTTTACCTATAGGTCTTGCAATTTTATTTAAAAATAAATTTAAGTTCAATCCTAAATCTTCATTCCGTCTTGTGTAAGAAGATGCTCACATCATTGTTTGAACTACTCGAACAATAAGTCACTAACTAAATGTGAACGGTCATTGCATTAACTCTAAGATTACATATTAGTATTTAACTGTGTGTAAATTAATAAGTATATTTTAACTTTATATTTCTGTTGGATTTTCAATTTGTTAAACCTATTTTGATGTAGTAAATTTATTTGGGTAGACTTTCCTTTGACAAAATAAAGTGGTAGAAAATTATTGAGCTTTTTTCAGGATCACCAGAATAAAAGGTCATTTTGTGACTTTAGTACATTAAATATAATAGAATTCTGATATCTAATTAAATAGCGTTGTACTCATATCAAATCGTACTTAAAATACTAATTTAAAGAATGAAATTGATGAAAATTATTGAGCTTTACTTTAAGATCAATTGAACACAAAATTGACATCCTTATCAAATTCATTCTTAATTTTATAATAAAGCACCCACGCGCACAAGCATCGTGAGGTATGCACACAAGCTGTGACCTAACTTTACCAATAAATAAACCAGTAGAGACAGCCTCACTCCATAATATATAAACACATAATTTCACTTTATATGTATGTACGTATTTATTTATGTTATGTGTACTGTGTGTGTAGCATGATCAGTTGAAATTCACGTGTGTTTGTGTGTGTGTGTTTATGTGTGGTTTATGTTAAAATACTTTCACTAGGGTTGTATTAAAAGAAAGATAAGTGGTAAAGTACTAGGGAACAAGAGGTTGGTCGGGTATTGCTAGAGTGGGTTAGCTTCATGTGTAGATTTCTGGGATACATTTCATAATCTTACATTTTCTCAAAAAATATTCATACTACTTAATGAATCTAAACTCACTGACACAGAAACTTGGTCAACATTGAATTTTGCGACAAATACTTTTTCATGCTTTTTCTTTAATTAATACTGCGTAGGTGGGAGCACAATAAATGTCTCTCTTAAGTTTTCAGTACTTTTCATGATTATTAAAAAATAACTACACCAACAACTAAGTTTGTAGCGGCGACTAATTAAAACTACACACTCTTAAGGAAAATTAGAATTTAAACACTCAACCTTAAAACACATCATTAAAACACGAGAAAATAAAGAAGAAGCAATTTTTATCATTGTTTATAAAGTTAGTACCGCGTATTTATTTCCTCCTCTAGCCCTGATAACTGCCTGTATTCGGTCTGACATGGTCTAGATGATTTTTTACATCTACTTACGGTACGGTTTTCCAAACAGCTAATGCTGCATGCTGAGCTGATGAAGAGTTTGTGGTGGGCTAGGAAGAGATTTATACTCAAATAGATTTAAGAGTGGACTACGAGCTGGCCACTCCAATTTTTGAATATAGACCTCTTGAAGGTATTCATTCACGTAATGCGCTACGCGTGGGCGTGCATTGTCGTGTTGAAAAAGATTTAAGAAGTTAGAAGTATATATAGAAGATAGAAGAAACTCATCATGTCCCATGAACCCTGAATAAGGCAAGACATAATCTTGTATCTCTTCCGCGTATCGAGCAGCATTTAGTCGATTGTTGACGATAACCAACTCTGTACGAGCGTGGGAACTTATTCCTCCCCGCATCATTTTTGAGCCTCCGTGAAAACTCACGGTTTGTGTAGTGGTGATAAGTAGAAATCGTTCTCCTCTTTTTCTCCGTGCTCGTCCTCGACCGTCTGGTGTACATAATGCAGTCCTACACTCGTCTGTAAATGAAACTAACTCACTGCTCGTAAGTCCAGATGGCGTCTTCCCGGGTAAAACGAAGTCTTGCTACTCGGTGCTGCCTAAGCTTTGGGGTGCGTGTTGGTCTGCGTTGCACGCGATCTTTAAGCTGCGCGCGAAAGACGTGTTCCAGGTGAGCGTCACCATATCTCGCCTCCAATGCCTCAAGGAGCTGCTCGTAGGTCACTTTCTTACTGAGAGCTTCCAACACAGTTAAGGCTTGGTCGCGCAGGCCTAAGGTGAGTGCAGTCATGGCCTGGCTTTTATTCCAGCCGTTTGCCTCCATGACGGCCTCGAACTGGATTTTGTAGGCCGACCAGGAAGAAGTCCCGTAGAACGGTGGTACCTTGAACCCACTTAGCGAAGGTGTTGTAGCTACTACGGGATGTGTAGTTCCATCCCCCAGTTTGAGATCGTCCAGCGTTTTCTTCACATCAGCCACCACGTTGTCTACCCGATTGTTCACTTGGTCGATTTGGGTTTTAGCTTCCTTGATTTGGGTTTCAGCCTTCGCGATTTGGGTTTCAGCTTCCGACAGGCGGTTGTCATGCTGAGCAACCCTATCCTTAACCTCCTTTATCTCCTTCCCGAAGGTAGTGTGAAGATCCTTCATGAGGAGTATTTGCTCTTCCAACCGACGGGCCTGTTCCTCTTGTCCGCCCCGCAGCTGTTCTTCCAAACGACGGACCTGTTCTTCTTGTCCGCCCCGCAGCTGCTCTTCCAAACGACGGTCCTGTTTCTCCTGCTGCTCCGTCACCAGACGGGCCTGTTCCTCTCGTCCGCGCTGCAGCTGCTCCTGTAGCATCGCCATCAGAGCACCTAAGTCAGGTGCTGCAGATGCAGGAGCTAATGACGGGCCCGCAGCCTCCGTGGCTGGCAGTTAGCCCTCCGACGTCTGCGCCGTTGCACCACGAAATCTTCTTTGGTCCGTCTCCTGCTGGCGTTGACTTCGGGTACGGACACCCTCCGTTTCTTCCTTAGGTAAAATCGGCATGATTTTATCCCACTTCTGACACCAATTGTTACGAGCTCGAGGTTCGTGACAATAAAAATTGCCGATAGAATTACCTAAATTAACACTTTAATTCACTTTACACTAATTAAAATCACTAATAATTAATCACACTGATTCACTTTATTCCGCTCCGAAGCTTCGCTTGTCTCGCCAACTTCAATGCTTCCCCGATCGCGTATTGCAGCGCCTTTATATAGGGCTCTTCCTTGAAAACATCCAGAATATTCGAGTAAATACGCGCGCCAACCGACCAAGCGTAGAAAGATCGAGTGTAGAGATTCTAGAAAGTTTAATGATTCTGTTCGATACTAGATGGCGCTGTTGGTTGAAAGACGAATCATGTATTTTCTGGAAAGCTCTTCTCGCTCTGTTACCCGACACCAGATGGCGCTAGTGCCTTGTACATGACGTCGACTTATGCGCGTAACAATATCTATTCATAGAAAATGTACGTGATAATGCATACGTTACGGATGCACGGACGGGACGGGGACGTGGCATGAACGGGACGGGAAAAATATCGACGGCGACGATGTTTAGTCCGTCCCGCCCGGCGCGTGCCACGTCCCGTCCGTGGTTCCGCTGCGTATGCACAGTCGCTCCGTTGGCTACGCAGTGATGCGCGTGTTGTACCGAACAAAATGTACGACGAAAAACTAATTTCATGTGTATGTATTATCATTTTCATGTTTGTATAATCTTGCACAACATATAAAACACAAAATATAAAAAAAAATTAGTATACATTTTATTTTCCATTTATGCTGTCTAACGAAAATACATATGATATTGAGTCTTTTCATCCATCAATGTTCTTTGTAGAGAGTGTGGTATGAGTACCAGGGTATGGTATGATAAGAAGGTAATCCTTCAAGTCCTATTTCAAGCCACGTATGATGTACAGAAAATCTCCTTTTATTGTTGACTGTTGTAGCTTCTTTATTATCTAAAGTAATAGCAATTAATGCCAATTCTTCAAATAATCTAATACATCTTTCACAACACTAGCACATTATTTTCGGGTCACTGTCACGGTGTGCATTAAACTCCCGTCCATGTGGACATACAACCACGTTCCGTCTCCGTCCCGTGTACGTGCTGATTCCGTCCTGTATGCAGCGACCTTAATGCTACGGCTTGTGCAACCTAAGCGGGTGTTAAGGGGGAAATATAATCTCAAATGGCTTAGCAAGATCCTTCGTTAAGCCGAAAATATTGCAGCATTAATTTTGAAATAAATATATGGTAAAGTTGAGGATTAATGTTAAGGATTATGTTAGACGAAAACACGATTTCGTAAAATTTTCTCGATAGAAAAAAATCCAAAGTTACCTCCAAAATAAACAATAAACCGCTGTTATTCATAAAATACTTTAAATAGGATCATGAAACTTTGCATACTAACTAAACTAACTACAAAGCAGTGCTTATGTTATTTACTTTTTTTAAAATACCATTATTTTCACTGTAAAAAAGAAATTACCTAAACTATCGGCCTTTTGAAGCGTGATTCCTGCCGCACGGTCACTTCGTTTCGGCCTTTGAACGAGGAGGTGTCGCTTACGATCAGAATATACATTACGCAACAGGACGACGTAAAATTAAAATGGGAAATAACCGTAATAAAAATAAGAAGCGACTGGCTTGGCGTTAAAAAACAGGCATAAATATGATAAACCTAATGAAATAAGTGTCTAACGACCTTTCTACTTACAGTATTAGTGATTACAAACATGTCGGTACATAGCATACGACGCGCGGGCAAGTGGGGATGAAATTAGAATTTGAGCTGACTTACTCTATCCCCTTAAGGGCATTTTTTTTTAGTTTTATTGCATTTTAAAATATTGGATTAAACGCACAAACTACAAAAGTTTAGTAACCGAACGGTACACTTTTCACAATCCTAAGTTTAAAAATTCAATTTAGTCGCTCAAATGACCCGATTCAATTAAAGCTTGAAACAAAAATGTCACACTAAACTCAACCTAGTGAATCACCCTCTTGAACCGTCATAAGCAATTTTTCGACCTACGTTCTTAAGTTATATTCATTATAAATATATTATATATTTTATATTCATTATATATTCACTTACTATGCAAGATTCTGTGCCTCTGAGTGCACCATATATGATAATTTTTGTGTTCTGTAGTCAGATTGGAAAAAATTTATTGACAGAAAGAACTATGTGGTCAAACTGTTGAGAAACGTACATTAAAAAGATGTTATTAAATAAATTCATAATCTTCAGGTTAGTTAGTAGCTAATGCACAGATTATGTTTTGCGTTGATCTTCACTTGTGTGTGCGAGTGTGATGTCACTGTATGATACTAACCTATTTTATGTGTAGTCTATGTTTGTATTTGTTCCGTTTTATTTGTTATATGTCCTTATTCAAACACTATAAACATACAGACACTACATTTTATATTCAAATTAACTTATGCTCAAAGCTGGACGGAACATATGCTACTTGTATGTAACACTGCAGTTACACTATTGAGTCTTTATTATACAGGATGTTTATTTTTAAAAATCAAAGTTTTGTTATATAATTTTTTTATTTCAACTTTTTCATTGGTGTGCCATGAAGAAACGCGTTTGTTCCGACCAGTTCTTAGTAAAATAAATATAAAAGTAACACTTTATTTCTACACTTGAAAGATTAATTTATATTAGATATACCTATTTATTTTTTGATTTCAGTGTAACCAAAATTTACCGTGTTTTAAATGAGCATTAAAAATATTAACGTAATAATCAAAGAGCGAGCTTTCGATGTCGCCTGACAGCTAAATTGTGTGCAAACTCTTGATGTTGCATGTACAGTCGTCTACAAATCCAGCCTAACTAAAAGACGCTAACATAAAAGTTGTATAAAGAGCCCTATAGCACATAGATCGCTTGATATGTAGTCGACTGTACTATATTCGTGAACTGTCAGTTTCTTGTGTTATGGCAGTTTGCGAATGTAGCGGGCCGATTGTTAAAACCGTAATGATTTATATGTCGATAAATTTAATTTTTCCTAATTGATTTCAAACAAATATCAATTTTTTGAATATATTTACAGTAAATTTTAATCAAATACATTACATTATAACGGTTGGCCTTAATAACGTTACCGTCAACTCCAACCAAATAACCGTCACAATGAAGAGTATAAAATTGAACTCACTATTTCAATAACAGTGCAATTCTTTTGGACGTGATTAAGTTTTACACTCTTCAAAACTTAGCGAGTGCACACCAGTTCGTTGTATTTGAAAGACTTTTCGGACGTTAGGTTTCGACTTAAGAAACGAATATTTTTAATAAAACGGATTTAATTTTTTTTTGATGTTACATGAAAGTGTTCTGTGTTCCACTTGGCACCCTTTTTTCATCCATTGTCGTTGTTCCTGTATTTTTACGTTGTTCTTTCATTTTTAACATAGTTCATTTTCTTTTCTCTCTCATTCATTCAAACTATTCAATGTTCGTTTGCCTATCTACCTTACACGAAAGTGTTATTCTGTTAAAGGGAAGAAAGTGATCCTAAATACTGCAAATGAACAAAATCTTGACAAATCTTGGTTTGTTATCGAACCTTCAACTCTTGTTTAATTTTCTTTTTTATATAACTACGACATTCTCGATCCTTTTGTTTCGCTGAAACTTTGAGTTAAATTAATGCGTTAAATAAAAGTGAAATGCATAAAAGTAAACAGAGCTTCCCTAATATGAGAGACAAAATAAGTAATTATCTCTCTTACTTAGTTGTAGTACTTACCAAAAGTCTATAAAGGAAAATATTAAAATTAATGTCTCGTTCAGAGGAAATTCGAATAAATCAATGTGCTAGCCACCGGATTGAGCGTACGCATGCGCGGGTGGGCGGTGCCTTGCGTTATAAATTGGTACTTGCAGTCACTGCTTTACACTTCGATCTGGCGCAGATAACTTTATCTCCTGCTGGATTGCTGGGTTGTTTATCAATATATATACAGTCCCCCTAATGACGCCAGGAATTTAAAAAAGTATACATTACGCAAGGCAACTAGATTCGTGAAATTACTTTTATTTACTAAGGAAAATGTATTCAAAGTCCAATGTTTCACTGTACATTCATGTTTAATATTCAGTTACACCTTATATTGTCAAAAGTTCCCTTTAGCTTTTATAGTCGTTGTACTTAATTCGTACGATGAATTTTAAACATACACAAATAAATATTCGCGTACTCCGAAAAGTCTGTTGTGTAAGTGTGCTCGCTGAGTGTAGTGCGGTGTTGGTGTGCGAGTGCGGTAGTGTGCGTGCGTGCGGCAGTGCGAGCGCGCGGCGGCGCTGCGGTCGCGCTCGGCGGGCAAGGCGGCGCGGCTGCTCGGCGCGGACGCGGCGCGCCTGCGCGACCACTCGCACCACGCGCACCTCGTACGTATACACACGCACCCCTCCCCCACCCGCAAGTTGCGTCACAAAGCTATAGGTGAGTAACTCGACGCTGCGGTCGCGCTCGGCGGGCAAGGTGGCGCAGCTGCTTGGCGCGGACGCGGCGCGCCTGCGCGACCACTCGCACCACGCGCACCTCGTACGTATCACACGCACCCCACCCCCACCCGCTAGTTGCGTCACAGAGCTGTAGGTAAGCAACTCGACACTGCGGTCGCGCTCGGCGTACAAGGCGGCGCGGACGCGGCGTGCCTGGGCGACCACGCGCACCTCGTACGTATCACACGCACCCCACCCCCACCCGCTAGTTGCGTCACAGAGCTGTAGGTGAGCAACTCGACGCTGCGGTCGCACTCGGTGGGCAAGGCGGCGCGGCTGCTCGGTGCGGACGCGGCACGCCTGCACGATCACTCGCACCACGCGCAACTCGTACGTATACACATGCACTCCACCCCCACCCGCTAGTTGCGTCACAGTGCTATAGGTGAGCAACTCGACGCTGCGGTCACGCTCGGCGGGCAAGGTACCGCGGCTGCTAGGCGCGAACGCGGCCTGACGCGGGGCGAATGCGCGACCACTCACACCACGCGCACGTCGTACGTATACACACGCACTTTCCTCCCTAACCCTCTTTCTCACTCGAGTGGATGAAGCCGGTCAACCTACTGGAATGTCTTAGAGGTTGGATGTACACTGCCTATCCCTCCGCCCCCTGCCCGTACGTTGCATCACTAGCGTAAGTATAGGTGAGGAAATCGAGTAAATGACGACGATTACACTGCTGTCTTAGTAGTTAGAAGTGAGATGTGTACTCGCATAAATATTTATTCCAAAAATTTAGTTAATTTCACTAGTGCCTGAAACCCATAGTAGTGTTAGAGTGCACATATGTATAGTCATATATAGGTCAGTAAAGTGGGTAATATTTTTATTTAAATTACATAAATAAAAAATATAAAGGATACGGTACATAAATTTCTGATTTAAAAACAAATATCTTAAAACATGTTACAAAAATATACTGGTAAATACTTTCAAAACGTAAATCAATAATACACACTTTTGAGCATTTAAATTATTGCGATTAGAAAGGCAAAACAAAATCACTAAAGTTTTGTAAATTTTAATAAACATTAAATAACATTAGTTTGATTGCAATGTAAGCTACTAGGGCGGCATTTCGCAATAAAGTGCTCGCTCTATTGCACACAGGTGCATATACCGTGAGTTAGCGCGAAATTGTACGTTGGATGCCGTATCTTTAAAAACTTGAGGCGCGTGTAAGTGCTGAGTACGAAATAAGTGTTTAAGCATTCAGCCAAAAACTAATTCTGAAAACCTGTTCCGATAAATACTTCTCACCTCTAGTATTCACTACTTGATTCATAACTAAAACAGTCAAACAAATATTGGTAAAGGAAAACGTATAAAAGAACTTCCTGTACCTGTTAACCAATTATGTTATGGTCAATTTGCTAAAGGATTCGAATTCGAAATAACGAAAGATTTACTATGGTACCTACCTGTAAGCCTATATAAGACACAAATGTAACTTATGGCACGGTAATTTTATCTATACAGTATTCCAACTTCATACAAACGGACGAAGTGAGAGCTATGCCTACGCGCCTCGATCTCGGCATGCGCTCGGCATGCAGACAGTCGTGAGTGCCGCAGTGATGATTTTGTGGAATATATATAAAAATAGAGGAAATAAATAATAGAAGAGAAATAAATAAATAATAAATCCGAACTTCATTTAAAACCAAACATATAAATTGTAAAATATTTTTTACTTGGTTATAAAATATAGATACCTCTATAACCAAGTAAAAGATATTTTTTTCTCCACCTTGTCCATGTTCCATGTCCCTAAACAATTTTAATTAAGTTTTATATTAGAGTGGGGATTTTTTATACTTAAAAATTTAATAATAAAGCATTTCGTACGTCTCAGCCGAGGTGCAAATATTTTTCGGTCGCAAATTCATAAGACCGATTTGTTATTCAGACATAAACGTGGTTTTTTAATTAAATTTACCAATCAAAAAACGACACGCATTTTTATTGAAAACTTCCTATTCTATTCACAAAGTACCTATTATATTTGTTTATATAAAAAAAGTATATTTACAATCATAAAACTAAATGGAAACACAAAGTAGGCAAATCTAAAAATGCTGGAGGCAGGCAGTCCCATTGATTTAGTATTGTATACTTCGATCAACAGTTGGTGTTTTGATCGAAGATTGTATAACTCAATGGGCAGCCCTATCACATGTTTACGTACCACGCGGCTGTAGGTATTTATTTCAAAGATACGGCCGAGTTACAATACTGTATTGATAATATTACCGTGCTTATGGTTTATGGTTCATAAATATAATTAAAAAGGTATTTTTAATTTCGTGCAGCTGAAGGTGAAACAAGGTTAGTGCTTTTGCCGTAACAAACTAATTTACGCTTGGCCCTTATTGATTTCATTTATCTATTGCTGGAATCCCTTAAATCATATATTATCAGTTATAAAATAGTACTGTATGGTTTGTAAGGCCACACACTTTTTAAGAAGTAGAGTTGTAGTTGTTGATGAGCACGTCAAAAGGAAAAGATCACCAAAGTTAAAAGTTTAATTAAAGAGTAAAATAATTATACAGTTAGAGTGGCAAATCTTTTCTTGAGTAGTTGGTTTTCAGAAGAACGGTTGTTGACGTACTGCCGATCGTCAGCTTGCAATTAAATAGGTAAATTTAAATACACGCGACGTCCGGCTAAAGTAGGTTGTGGAACGTTTACTTAATAAAAATGTGTGGTGTAACCATACAAGTACTATGCCTCTTTAAACTACCTATTTAAGTGTACATTGTTATCATTATTATCTTTATTAATTTTATTAATCTAATACAAGCTTATTTTACGTAAATATATTATAATAAAAAATTAATAACAACTCGCTCCAGCCACTAGTCATCATCGATCAGGTAAAGCTGTATTGAAACTCACTGACAGTTCATGTTTCAACTTTTAGATCGCATTCCCTCTGAAGAACGCATGCTCCTAGCTATAAATAAAATAGAATCCATTCAAAAATATTTAAACAAAAAATGCTGTTGGAACTTGGCTTTTACCCAAAATTATCTATAACAAAATGTAGACTTGAAAATTTAACAAAATCCATTAAATATTGTGCAAAAATAAGGTATGTGATAACTATTCGTCTAGAACCAAACTAAATGTTTATATAATCGAAACCCGCACGGAACAAGGCGTAGGTATAAATACAAATGGTACACATACAAATTTTTTTCTGCGTTTGGATGTTTGTACTTGTGCAGTTTATGTATTTAAAACACCTCCATGATATTGGCGAAAATCCTACTGTAGTAATAACGTTTCTTTATTCATTAATAAATAATAGCATCGAATATAATAAATCGTACCGTATAGAGTTTGATCAGCAAAAACTGAAGTACTCTAACACAGCTATAGTCCTTTATAGTTTCAAAGTATTTGCAGTTCTTAAAATTACGGACATACAGATTAGGCAATGTAATATAGGTGGAGCTATGCGTGGAAACAATGGGAGAGGTGGTTTCACTTCTCGCTCGTGACGATGTCGGTCCTGTAGAGGCCGATAGAGGAGACTTCGCAAGGCGGTTGCTTCCAACTGTATTGAAGACCACCACAACTATGTTGAGGGATAGAGCAAAGGCGAAGGATGGATCAGGCGTTGTTGATGATCCTTTGGTGGTGAGTATCAAAGAGTAAAAAATATACATACAGTTTAAATAAATCCCACTGTTCAGCCTCCTCTCATTTCTGAGATTTGTTAATCGCAAGAAAGGATTGTTTCTTTGAATCAATACTACTTTAGTTGACATATGGATCTGAGAAGTGACCCTTTATTGCTGGCTGTATGAAGAAGGGATTTGGTAGGAATTTCTCTGCCTGATAGAATTTTTAAAGAATGTATCTGCGGTAGAATCAAAGTAACCGACATAGCCTTACAGATCAGTAAGCTGAAGTAGCAATGGGCTAGGCCATATAGCTCGTAGAACCGAATATCGATGGTGAAGAAAGGTTCCCGAGTACCCGTACCCGTACCGGTAAACAAAGTGTAGAGCGGGCCCACTCTAGATAATGAACACTAAGATAGAGCATAATAATTTTCCTTTATTTTTTATTTATTTAACATTTTATTATTATTTTAGATGCCTTTAAAATTAACAATACAGTAAATATTATCTCCTGATAATGGGGAGTCTCGTTTTAAACAGTGGACTTTAACGGACTGATGAATAAGAATAATAATAGTACATCATCAAACATTTTTGGTCCCCTGAACCGGATATTTCAGGATGAAATAGAACGCATAGAATCGACAAATCATAATACCTTTTTACTTAACCATCCTGTAAACTACTGTACTGTAATCACTACTGTACATGAAATTTTCTCGTAGTAAAGATGGCAAGACACATATTATGTCTTTTTTCTTATTTCCAGAGAAGAATAGTGTGCGTGCTTTTAGACATGGTTCGCCAAATGTCCGAGGAGCAGTACTCTTTGCTCGTGAAAGCACTCGAGCACGAAAATGCGGGTGGTTCCGGGTCCCTTATATCGGATGCGTTGGCGCTTATTTTGGAACTTCTGCAGCGACCTGTGTTCAGGCCTCACTGGGCTGATATGTTACATTTGCAGCATTACGTTATGTTGCACGCATTGAGGTAAAGATACTTTTCCTCTTCCTAGCTCTGACTTTATTCTTACTTGTTATTTTGATTATTTAATATAAGTAACGAAGACTTAACGTTTCTTACATATTGATCCAACCTTTAGCAATATCTAGAGTTAACACTGCATTTTATCTTTGTCAGTTGTTACCAATTTTGATAATTCTTTTTCAGTAAATAGGTTATAATACGAGGGTGGTTCCATTTAAATTTGAAGAAAAATCCACCCCGTATGAGCGGCAAAAAAGGGGTGTAGTTATTAATGGAGCCATTTAGATGACATTGAGATTATAGAGCGGACATTGAGAACATTTGCATACAAAAACTGTGGGCTCGCGCGTGTGTTACGTCCTCTAGTGAAACATAGTAATGCTACGCTGAATATTTATTTGGAAAACATTTTAGCTATTCCCCATTAGGTGACGCTACTAAATATATGGTAAAAATCCGTTTTAGGCACGTCGTCAATCACAATATATTGGTAAATAAATAGTGACGTTACTGGATAACAGAAGGAGCTTATTACAATATTCTTTCTTTCTTCTAGAACAATCTACTAGAAATAATAAAATTTAAAGATTATTTGGTAAATATACATTATTCTTACGACTATAAATCGAAATCACGTTCATTTTTTGCTCCATATCGTGCCTTACAAACCATTAATGCACACCTGGGCATATTTTCTTTAAAAGTATTTTTTAAATTTATGAAACGAATGCCTTGACCTTCTGACGATGTCACTAAGACTAAATGACAAAAATCAGAGATATATCCTATGGAACAAAAGTTAGACGACGATTTTGTTGCTTATGTCCGGTCTATTACTACTACTTAAGAGGATAGAGTAAGTCAGCTCAAATTCTAATTTCGTCCCCACTTGCCCGCGCGTCGTATGCTATGTACCGACATGTTTGTAATCACGAATACTGTAAGTAGAAAGGTCGTTAGATACTTATTTCATTAGGTTTATCATATTTATGCCTGTTTCTTAACGCCAAGTCAGCCGCTTCTTATTTTTATCACGGTTATTTCCCATTTTAATTTTACGTCGTACTGTTGCGTAATGTATATTCTGATCGTAAGCGACACAACCTCCCCGTTCAAAGGCCGAGGCGAAGTGACCGTGCTGCAGGAATCAGCGTTGCCAACTCAACTACTTCAAAATATGCTAGACTGGTGTAAAAAATATGCCAAAAATATGCTTACCTTCTCTAAAAATGCCAAAAAAAATGCCAACATAATTAAGAAGTATCAGTATTTATTGAGAAATTAAATCAAGGGAATAGAATATTAAGGTCTTCATCTTCATCAACATCAGCTGATGTGGAAGGCTGAGAGCCGGAGTCGTAATACTCTTTGGTTCCGATACTGCGTAGTACATTGTCTGGAACAGTGTAAGAGTAACAGCACTTTCCTGCTCTTTTTAGGCCGAACCTAACGTACAAAATGGCATTCAGGGTTCTCACCGCCAAACGGTTTCGGAGTTTTGTTTTTACCAGACTCATTTGGCTGAATACACGTTCAACGTCCGCATTTGAATGTGGCAATGATATAAGAGACATTGCAAACTCACATAACTCTGCAAAGGGGTTATTATCAGCTGCATCTTTATATTGCATGACTTCATTCCAGAACTTTACTGTGGAAGTCAAGGATTCCCATTTAATGTGAACTATATTTCTCCATTGAGATACCAGTTTTTCAATCATAGGTGCATTAACTCGGAACTCTTGGGCTATTTCGACAATGGATGGCTTAACTACTTTTAAAGTCTCTTGAACTGAAAACATGGATATCTTCTGAAGTATTTTAAAATTAACCGGTAATCTCGAACGTAGTTCTGTCACAAGTTTCAGTGTGAAATTATTACAACGTTGGCGTAAATAGTTTGCTGCATTAGGCTGAAGATTGTATTCAAGTAATTTGGTCTCAAAAGCATATCCCATGTATGGTTTCGGATCTAAATAGCTTTCTATATCTTCTGTTAAAATATCTACCCTTGCCGTTGGGTTCAGAATACGCCGACCTATCGATTCCACTAAGCCAATCAAATCATTGTACAATCTTGTTGGGTCAACATCGTTACTTTCAAACAACTTGTTTACCACTTGAACTTCCTGTAAGATAGGTCTTATGTATAATAAGTACAAATGATTCTGTGGATCATTATACATGTTATATAGTATTTCTGCCGTATAGCAGTGTTCATCTCGCCTGGCAATTTCAAACAGGGTTTTTAATTCTATCCATTGATCAAGAATACGGCAGACCGCTGGTTCAATTGATATCCATCGGGTATTGCACATCTGTGGAATTGTCAATGGAACGGAGCCACCGTTGATCGTTTGAAACATGTTTTTGTAAAAGAGTCTTCGGTTTGATGAATGGCTAAACCAGTTATAGGTTTCTCTTATAAGAAATTCAACATTTCTTGGTAGGGTTTCTGCTGAAGCATGAGACATAGCCAACTGTAACGAATGACACACGCAGCGGACTAACACTAAATTGTCATTACCAGTTGCATTTTTCAACAATGCGTGCACTCCACTGTTAGTTCCTGTCATGACCGAAGCGTTATCCGTGCCGATACCGATCAATTTCTTTAAATTTATTTTTATTTCTGCCAACAATCCTTTAATGCCGTTCACTATGCTGACTGCAGTTCCGTCTTCAATCTCAACTAATCCCAAGAATGTGGAAATTATCTTTTTTTAATGATCGGCTGAAATATCTTATCGAAACACCAAGCATTTTAAGTACCAATATATCTGTCGATTCATCGATTAAGAGACTGTACTCCTGATCTCCTAAATCTGTCACAATTTCTTGAATGAAGTGTGGTGCCAAAACATTTTTAATAATATTCGTGCATTTGGTTCGATGTAACTTGATGTCGCTGTATTTGCTGTCGACAAATCGGTATTTGCATAGTTCCGATAAATGATCTACAGCCATAATTGCACAGTGCTCGCAAACAAACAAAGCCAGCGAAGATTCTGCTTTCTGGGTATTCAGATCTTTTTTTTACTTTAGGGAAGTTAATTTTTTTTTGACTCTTCATTGGCTCTATTGCTTTTCTGTGCTTTGCTGATGAAATATGTAGCCTCAAAACAGACAATTTTGCAATCATTTCGCATTTACAATACTTACAGTACGCTTTCGAAGTATCGTTTTCAACGGGCTGCAACCACTCTTTAAAGTCTGCCATTTTCTCCCAGTCTGCCCGGTAATGTTGACTATACTTAGGCACCATAATAAAAATATCAAATTATAAAAAAAGGAACACGAAAACACGGATAAGACGAGACGACGATATGAGTGAGTCCACATCCACAACAATAAACAATGTTTTTGACAGAAAGCGACGTAGGCGCTGGGGAATGGATAATAGTAAGGGAATTCTATCCCATAGACATCACCCTCACAAAACTGACCACTCTCTAGAAAGAGACAAAGTGAATACGCGGCCAATACATGTGTATTTTCTGCAAGGCGCAGGTAAGGCGTAGAAAGAGACAATAACTGGCGGCACATTCGCTTTGTCTCTCTTGTACTTCGTCCATATTTACTTTATACCTGAATAAGGGCTCAGTCCATTCTCTATGTCTAAGGGGAATCCCGTAGCACAGAGAATATTATATTCGCTTCAAAAAAAGGGTTGCCATGCTAGTGAATCACTAGTAGTGAAGTGGGAAATTGATTGAGGTAGGTATCGATATCAAATTTTATTTCAAGAAAGATTGTAATTTACATTCTTTTCATGTTTTATAAGAATATGCTGAAATAATATGCTATATGCTAAAAGCAAAAAAAAATATGCTAAACAAGAAGAAAATATGTCAAATTTAGCATAAAATATGCTAAATTGGCAACACTAGCAGGAATCACGCTTCAAAAGGCCAATAGTTTAGGTAATTTCTTTTTACAGTAAAAATAATTGTATTTTAAAAAAAAGTAAATAACATAAGCACTGCTTTATAGTTAGTTCAGTTAGTATGCAAAGTTTCATGATCTTATTTAAAGTATTTTATGAATAACAGCGGTTTATTGTTTATTTTGGAGGTAACTTTGGATTTTTTTATATCGAGAAAATTTTACGAAATCGTGTTTTCGTCTAACATAATCCTTAACATTAATCCTCAACTTTACCATATATTTATTTCAAAATTAATGCTGCAATATTTTCGGCATAACGAAGGATCTTGCTAAGCCATTTGACATTATATTTCCCCTTAAATGTATGTGGTATTCCTTAGTCCACTTATAAGGATTTAAAAAAATCTTCTATACAAGTCTTAGCACTAACTTCAGAATGTAGAATTATTTTATTCATTAAATGTTTGAAGTCGGTTCTTAATTTTTATTAAAAGTTAACTTTCCTTTATTCGAATGAGAAACTTTTTCAGTAAGTAACAGCTAATGGAATTTTTTTGGACTGAACTTTACTCGAGTTTTTATCGGGTGTCTGGTAATGAAGGGATAACATTGAAATGAGTCTTGGTGGAACTCATAGCCATTCATACTGTGTAGATCGGAACAAAAGTTAAATTTTAATCTATGGTAACCACGGTTAACTATGACATCTGGACGTTGAACATCTCAGTCCCCTCGTGACCATGAGTGCTGTAAAGTGCTCGAAACGTCGGGTATTTAAAAGTTAAATATACGCGATAAAATTCGTAAAAACCAGTATTATTTAAGTGTGTAGTGTTCGCGTAAATATAAGAAATCATTCGCATGTGTTTATTTCGTTTCCGTTTCTAATTGCTGCTATTTACTGTGAAACATATCTTTGGTACTACTTGGTTTTTTATTTTTATTCTGAATGGCCATTAGTTCTACCCAACGCCGTCTTGGGCCATACCGGGGCTCTTGGGCACACAAGAATTTGGGGCCCTGTTGGAAAGTAAAAAAAGTGAATGACAAAAACATTTTTCTGCTACGATCATACGTTTATTATAGTTAATTGGTAAACATAAATAAAATATATTATAGCGTAAGCGAATAAGGTCGGTGCCTTTCGTCACTGGGGCCCCCTTGACGATAGGGGCCCTGGGCACGGGCCCCGTGTGCCCTTATAGTAAAGACGGTACTGGTTCTACCAAGATTCATTTCAAGGTCCATTAATTACCGGACTACCTGTATAAGAATATAGTTTTGAAATGTGTCTGTTTTGTAGACCAAATAAAGTGAAAAAAGTATAATCTCATAATGATTACTTATATTTACGCGAATACTATTCTCTTCTTCTTCCTGGTCGTGATCTTCATAACTGATGGTCGTATCCGTAGAGTTCGTAGCGCTGTTCACTATAGCCCTCTATTCTGTCTGGTCCTCGGCTTTTGGCATTGCAGCCGCGAATGAAAGGCTAGTAAGTGATTTGACCTGGTCCGACCAGCGGCTAGATGATCGGCCGCGTGGTCTTTTGTCCCCCACCTTGCTTACGACGATATGTTTTTCCAAGTTATTGGGCGGGTGTCGGGAAATGTGACCAAAGTAACTCGGAATACGCTGGTAACACGTAGTGAAGAGTCTGGTGTCAACACGAAGCTGCTCAGGTTTTACTTGTAGGTCCTCTTCGCGGTCTATGGTTTCCGAAGCATCCTTTTCCAACACCACATTTCGAACGCATCGATTCTTTGCTTGTCTGCTGCGAATACTATATATGGAACAAATTCGTTTTATTCCAAGTATAACATCGCTGGTTACCGCTACAGTGTGATAAGTCCTGTCCTGAGTCCTGTTGAATCATCTGTTTTCTTGGCATCACTCGACGCTAAGCTTCAGTGGGGCCCCCATATATCTAAACTAGCAAGCAGACTAAGCTCTACAGCTTATAGTGTAAAAAAATGCCATCAAAAACATAACTTGTAAAAAAAAAACAAGTCTCGCAACTCAGTTCTTCTACCGTAAAAAGTTGTGAGATCCATGTAATACTAAGTCGGTAAATTTATTCAGTCTCTACTTAAAGGTCTTCTTGTTTTAAGTCATTACGTTATTAGCTAAGCTAACAACATCTTATAGTGACCATATCAAAGTTGAAAATCTTTTATGTTTTAAATAAATAGATTAACTTGGCCATCGTATGAAGTACATATCTCACAAGTAATAAGATTGTTTAGTGCGATTGCTAAGTCCGTCTATTTATTTTATACATAAAAGATTTTTAACATTGATATGGTCACATATAAGTCAATAGGTTCCTAGTTTTATTCACAACGGAGTTATAGGGGGGTCGAAAATGGCCTGAACTGCTTCGAGAACAGTATGATGGTACGGCCGTGCCACCTCGAGTTGGCGGGGGCACGGCAGTGATTGACAGATTAGAGATCTTATTAGTGTCGAGACAGCTAGATTAGTTTATTTCAGCTATTTTCGTAGCATAATGTCATATGGAATTTTGCTATGGGGGAATGCGGCTGATTTAGAAACAGTTTTTGTTTTGCAGAAGAGGGCCATTAGAGCTATTTACAACCTTAAACCGAGATTCTCTTGGAGAAAAATTTAAAGTAATAAATTTATTATCTTTGGCCTCTCAGTAAATCTATGAAAATTTGATGTATGGTCGCAAAAAAAGGTAGTTTTAGTAAATAAGTGACATACACTATGTAAACACTAGAAACAAACACAAGTAGTACCTATAGTTGTAGCACAAATGGATCGGCTCGACTGGGGAAGAACCACGCTCTCACAGAATACCAGTGTCAAATAGTAGCTTAATGCTGCTGTGTTTCGTATGGTGAGTGTAGAGAACTGGAGACCCTTTTTACTGGAAACGAGGCATTCCATCTTAGTCCTCACGGGTGACAACGCATCTGCATATTGATTCATAATCGAGGACAGATGTAGGTGTCCATGAGTCACAGCAACCACTTACCATCAGGTGGACTGTGTGCTCGTTTGTCACCCTATCCTATAAAAAAGCTATTGATACCGGTTTCTCGACTCCACAGAGTCACTAATTCATTCTTAGGGCAATGTATACGCTATTACAACAAAGTCCCAGAAAATATACAAGGTTTCTCTATTACCAAGTTTAAATATTTAATTAAACAAAAACTGTATAAAAAGGGTTATTATGATATAAATGAATACATTGTTGATAATAACCCCTGGGAATGAGGTGGTAGCTTCCAAGCTGTTTCTAAAATAAATTTTGTAAATATTTTGTGACCATTGTAAAATTTATTCAAAAACAAATTCCCGCTGGGTTTCTTGCTGGTTCTTCCCAGGACAGAGGGTTGTTTTTCGAACCAGTAGTAAAGCAAAAAATTGACTCAATAACAATTACTTGTAATCTATATTTAATAAAAAATACAATAGTGCATATTACACCGCTGTTAAATACACCAATAATGAATAAAGGAGTGTTCACGTAGGTTACTGTCAAGCACAGTGTGCGAGCGCGCACAGTCGTGCACGTGCGAGGGCCAGGGCGCTGGCGAGGGGGGAGGGTGCGGGGGAGGCGAGCGCGCACGCGTGGGTGCGCGAGTGGTTCCGTGCGAGCGCGGCGCTGTGCTGCGCGCCCGCGCTGCAGCTGCACGCGCTGCCGCCGGCGCGCCGCCGCCGCCTGGCCGCCGGCTACGGCGACCTGCGCCGCGCCGCCGCCGCTGCCATGGCGCAGCTGTGGTACGCGCTCGGTGAGTCACTGCACCACACTACCACACTATACTACACTCACTTGTTACATTTGCGCGGCGCCGCCATCGCGCACGCAATGATTCGCTTTGTACTAATTTGAACCCTATATCCCAATGATATAAGTATCAAATTACAATATGTTCTGGTAAAGTTAAGCCGCGGAATAACCTATTTGTATTTTTTAATAAAAAAAATTAATGGAATTAGCTTGACAAGCGATTACACAGCCCACCTGATGGCAAGTGAATACTGTGGCCTATAGACATGTACATATATCCCTAATTAAAAATTAAAATGCAGATGCGTTGTCACCCGTAAGAACTAAGATGGAATACCTCGTTTCCACTCAACACACACAACAGGTTCTCCAGATCTGTACACTCACCATACGAAGCACAGCAGCATTGATCTGCTATTTTACGCTGGTACTCTGGGAGAGCGTAGTCCTTCGCCCGTCGAGTCGACCCAGTCTTGCTAATTTAACTGCAGTATGCGTCTACCACGTATAAAACTTTTCATTCCTAACATACAACCAAGATACGGGCCTCCCTATAGAGTTTTTCAGTTGGCAACCGCAGATTTTATTTATAGTTTGTATTAAGAAGATACTGCTGCCCATCGCATCGATTAGTTTGCCTCTGTCATAGAATGGCTGTCAACTTTATTTTGTACGAGGATCGGTGTCGCCGGGAGCACATTCAAGCAATTACATCGTATTATCACTACTACAAACCCTTTACCCTTTGTTTTAGACTTTTGATTAATGTTTTTGACACATCAATATTTCAAAAAAAGAAGAAGAAAGAAGACATGAAAAATAAGAATCCGAGATCGTACTGAGTCAATAGTTATAAAAGAAATTTTTTTTGTTTTAGGCGAACATAAGTATCCGATGATCCCGTTTGTGGTGGGTGAGTTCCTGGAGGTGAGCTTTCTGCCCGACGACGAAGTACGTGACATCACAATACCGCTCTTCTATGACATGATGGTGGTCGAATATCAACACAACCTTGCCAACGGGGAAAGCTGTAAGTCATATATATTCTCAACAGTATCATTCTAAATGGCACCCGGGAATTAACTTAATTTCGTGTTTTTTTAAATATATGGGTATAATGTTATGGTTTATACAATAAAATATAATAAACATGTTTTTCTCATGTAAATTTATATATTATTATAACATTAGTGCTAAAAGCTAACTATAATAGTAATTAAAATACTTAACAAATGGCGGGAATTGAATCGCCACAATGGATGACAGTTACTGACAATAGATATTTGACACATCGCCGGGATGGATGTTGTGACCGTTGAGCGGATAATGTAATTGTTTCCTGTCCGTCTGTCGCAATGTCACAGCAGCCGTTAGTAGTTCCTAGGCAGTAGAACTTTTCTTATGGTTTCTTCTGAGTAGGTACCACCACACTCTTTTCTCTATGGCGCAGGACCACGATTACATAAAAAAGAACATAATGTGTTTCGTATGGTGAATAACTTCAAACAATGAAGATTACAAAGATTTAAATAGTAAGATGCGCCTTCACCTTGAAAACTGTGACATTATTTTTATAAGTGTTCGTTTGCAAGACGCTGACGCGCGCACACTACTACAATAGTGTTATCTCTTATTATCTTACAGAAATTATGTATACTACTTTCTCTGTCGCACAAATGAGCACTGATTGCGAATGAATGAGCTTACTAGACATGTGTAAATCACTCATTACTAGCGACGGAATCATTCTAGTACATTTCGTCACGCGTACTGGTACATTCGGATCGATCATTCAAATGGATCATTTTAGGCTCCAGTACACTGTGAGTCTGTGAGATCCATTGAGAACCGAAAATTTTCTAATTGAGATTTGTAATAGCGCCATCTACTACATGTTATAGGTAATAAAGTCATTTTATCGAACTAAAACTTATTAACTTTCAAGGTGGTAAGAACAATCGACGCTAGATGACATAAACACAAAAACCTCATATTATCGTATATTTTAAGTATTTAATAAATTTGTTTATTCTTAAATTTCATTCCTAATAATCTAACAATACACAATTTCATCTTACTTTACATGTCTAAAAATAGGAACTGTAACATTTATTTGCTACGAAATTAAACTTTTACCTAACTTATTTAAGATGGTTGAAAATTATCTTTAAATAAATCATTTGTCATGAAATCTTTTGAAGTGTTATTTTTAGTAAACTCAAAGGAATTATATTTTTAACTCATAGATTTAACAAATAAATATAAGAAAACGTAAAGTAGTTTTTAATTTAGGTAACAATATTATAATAAAAAACCCTTAAATAATAAATATTCCTGTTACTCTGCAGTTTCCGTATATATTCTCCGCTAGGAGTAATGGTGTTCTGTGTATATATTACTCTACTCTACTCCATGCTCTGCAGTCTGCACTGTTAATTCAATTCGCCTGTTTATTCAGATCATTCGGGATTCGGTCGGTTTGCGGCTCATTCACAATTCAAACAAATCGCGGGTTAAAAGGTACCGTCAATTGTTTGTGATTGGTTGTACTGGTACATTCAAAAACAAATGAATGAACCATCAATACTTTTAAGTGTACCAGCTCAAACGAACGAATCATGCATGATTGACACATGTCTAGAGCTTACTCATTTGAGAATGGACACATTTCGGAGTGGTCATTCTATGGTAAGGGCGCATCTAACTATTTAAATATTTGGAAGATCACAGATCTGTTGTCACCCCTTGGGACCAAGATGGATACCTTACTGTACAGAACACGTGAGTGCGTGCACTGTTATTTGGTAATAGAAATAATTAAGAAGGTGGTATAATAGTTGGTAAACAACTTGAGCACTTATGACGTTTACTGCGCAAATTTCCACCGCTGATTTGTAATAAGCTGGTTGTTTGGACAAGCGCTCGAGCCTCGTACGTTCCTCAAATTGTCATTTAAAATTCACAAGAAACAATACGGTGTCCCGTATTGTTGTTTTTTTGAGTATGTTGAAGTTGTTTGCAGGGTTCAGTAATTTTATGTTTACCAGATGTTTGTAGTTAGGGCTAAGGTTATTTGTTACATAATAGCATTGTAATTGAGAAATTGCGTTTCAAATACAAGTTTATTGATTACTAGAGTGTGTAAATACACAATACAATTCATTAGTGATTGCGTTTATGTTTTGTATAATTTTTGACTTATTTTTATATTTTTCTACTTTTATGAATGTATTTAGTTTGGGCTTATCAATTTTTAATTTAATTAATATAAAATATAGCTAATGCTTAATAACTGGCTCTGCCCTGGTGGTAGAAAAAAGTCGTGGATGTTCTCATTGTACCTATTTAGACTTAGGAAGTCGTAGCACTTTTATGTTTTGTAAAAGTGCATACAAGCGAGCGCGCAGTTCACATGATAGAATGTGTCGACTGCTGGTCATGAACAACTGCAATACTAGTTGCTGGCCTTTTAAAAAGGGAGTAAGCGCGTTTCTTGAAGGTCTCTTACTCGTATCGGTGCCAAAAAATCATCGGTGGCAAAGGTTTCCATCCAAGAAGTCATAAAAGTAAAGTAAACTTACAGCCTATATACGTCCCACTGCTGAGCACAGGCCTCCTCTCATTTATGAGAGGGTTTTTAGGGCGGGGAAGTGTACGCCGCGCTGCCCCAATGCGTGTTGGCGAACTTCACATGTCTTCCAAATATTTTTTTTTCTTATTCCTCAGACATGCCGGTTTCCTCACGATGTTTTCCTTCACCGCCGAGCACGTGATAAATTAGCACTTATAATTGCAATTAACAATTTCATTGGTGCCGGCGGGGATCGAACCCGGGTTACTCGCGTTCTGTTATATCACAGCGAGCGTAAACCATCTAAGCTACCACGGCTCTGCTTGAGCCGTGGTAGCTTAGAAGTCGTGCGAGACAAAAAAGAGCTTATGTGGTGTTGCAGGCGACGCGCCGCTGCGCGTGCTGGAGAACGAGCTGATCGACAAGCTGGACGTGCTGGCGGCGCGCGGGCTGGGCGACGCGGCGTGGCGCGCGCGCTTCGTGTCGTCGTGCGGGCGCCTGCTGGCGGCGGGCGGTGCGGGGGGCGCCGGGCCCGCGCTGGTAGCGGCGGCGGCGCGCCAGCTGGACGCGCTGCTGCAGTACCGCGCGGCCGCGCAGCGCGTGCACCTCGCCGTGCGTGTGCTGCGGTTCTACGAGCACATCGAGCGCCCGCATATGTACATACGGTCAGTCATGGCACGCGCTGCTCCTGCTTCTTGTTGTGGTCAATTTGACCAGGCAAAGGTTTTAGATCATTCAGCCTAGTCTGACACGTTTTTTTGTTGACAGTATTTCATATTATGCTGATGCGTCTGAATGTGAAATTTTTAGCAGTGCAGTGATGTATAATAAGTAAATAGAACAGACACCGCGTACAAAATCTGTGCGGCAATGTGGGGCGCAAGAGAGCAACCGCAGCATATCATTTTATGACACAGATTAAGTAAGATTGAGCTCATTGACGCTAATGCCTAGTGCAAGCGACCAAATCTCGGTGGTTTTTCTGATACATAGTGTATATAGTTTTAGGAGATTTTAACGACAGCTTCACTTATTAGACAGTTAATTTCAATAATATCTGATAAAAACTTAAAACTTATATCACCATCGAGGCATATGTCATTGTTTCAATTAATATCACATAGGCAAACATTTAGTACACAAAATCATATTAATTTAGCGTGTCAAAATCTCTTCGAACTTTTATTTAAATGGTAATACAAGACCAGCAATACGCTTCCACTTAAGAACTACTTAAAACTCCTCATAACCCATATTAGAAAATACGTTTTAAAAACTAATACTAAGATTTCACAAAAAAAATAAAACATCTTTCAACATAAAAATAATATGTTAATAATTCACAGTGTATTGATGCTTCACATTGCAGTGTTTTTAACAGATATTGACGACAGCTTTAGCCAAAATAACTTGTAATTTATTTTACCATAAACTACATGTAATACATTCTTTTCTTTAACAATTCACATACATTGACATTTAAAACACAAAGTCACATCGCCTTTACATATAAAAATCCACTTCAAACTATTGTGTAATGTAAATGATAATATAGAAGTAATAATCAACCAAGTATTCACAGAAACCATCCAAAACATACCCCTGTATATGCCGGCTCACACAAACAAATAATATTAATTAAAGTAGTAATCCGCTATCAATAGCCAAGTATTCAAAGTAAAACCAAAAACATACCCCTTTACCTTGTAGATGTCAGCCAGCATAATATTAACTATTTCTCCCAGATACGTTCACAAACTGGCCCAGATGCACCGTGACGCCCAACATTGGACAGAAGCAGGCCTGGCTCTACGGCTACATGCAAAACTGCTGGAATGGAGTGATTGTCCCCTCCCGCCTAGATTACGTCATCCCACGGAGGACTGCGCTGAACACGTGACTCATAGGGATTTAAAGGTATGAAAATACGCATAAAAGAACCAGCGACAAAACAATCTTCAACATAACAAAACTTTGTAGAATTGTTTAGTTTTTTTATAGGATAGGGTGACAAACTAGCACACAGTCCACCTGATGGTATGTAGTTCCTGTGGCCCATAGACATCTACATCTATCCTCGATTACGAATCAAAATGCAGATGCGTTGTCACCCGTGAGGACTAAGATGGAATGCCTCGTTTCAAGTAAAAAGGGTTTCTACAAGATAGAGTCTACAAGTACAAGTCTCTCTACTAGAGAAAAGTCTCTACAAGGTTTTTTTTATAGAAGAGGGGGCATACGAGCATGCGGCTCACCTGATGTTAAGTGACTACCGCCGCCCATGATCAACCGCAACACCAGGGGAATTGCAGGTGCGTTGCCGGCCCTTTAGAAAGGAGTAAGCTCTTTTCTTGAAGGTCTGCGGGTCGTACCGGTCCGGAAAAATTGCCGGTGGTAAAATTTTCCACAGAGAGGTCGTACGCGGAAGTTACGCGGAACTCCTTTTGCAACGTACGGTGGTGGACCGCCAAGCACCCAGATGATGTGGATGGTGTCGGAACGTTTGCCGCGTAGTGCGTTCAGGAAATTTGGCGGCTGGGATTAATCCGAACAATTCCTCAGAGCACTCCGTGATAGATGCGATAAAATACGCAAAGAGATGCAACATCTCTTCGCAGCGCCAGTGAATCGAACCGATCGGAAAGCACTCGGTCATCGACAATGCGAGCCGCTCTGCGCTGGATGCGGTCAAGTGGACGGAGCTGGTACTGGGGAGCTCCAGCCCAGAGATGGGAACAGTATTCCATGTGCGGCCGAACCTGCGCCTTGTAAAGTTGCAGGCGGTGTGCCGGCATGAAATACTGTCCCGCTCTGCTGAGCACGCTAAGCTTTAAGAGGCCAATTTGGCCTTCTCTTCCAAGTGACCACGAAACTGCACGTCACTCGATATGTCGACGCCGAGGATTCCGATACTGGCTGAGGCAACAAGGGGAGTGCCTTGAAACTGAGGAGATACGACAAAGGGGATTCTTTTTAGCGGTTAAAGCGCAAACTTGTGTCTTCTGGGGGTTAAACTGGATTAGATTTAGTCGCTCCCAAACCGAGACTGTTCAGCAAAGACTCGACTTCAGACACAAGTTTGTCCCGGCACTCGGAGACGTTTTCCCGAGAAATATTGGCACGGCCGGTGTAAAGAGCGTCACCAGTGCTGTCATCTGCATAGCAATGAATGTTACGAGTTTGCAACATATTGTTACGAGCTTGAGGTTCGTGACAATAAAAATTGCCTATAAAATTACCTAAATTAACACTTTAATTTACTTTACACAAATTAAAACTAAAAACACTAATAATTAAACACACTAATTCACTTAATTCCGCTCCGAAGCTTCGCTTGTGTTGCCGAGTTCAACTCTGCCCCGATCGCATCTTGCAGCGCCTATTTATATAATTAGCAAAGAAGCGTCCCGAACATTCAAGTAAATGCGCGCCAGGCAACGAGTGTTCGAGTGTAGATTTTCCAGAAACTTAGTTCTTCGGGTGGCGCTGTCGGTCGAAAGATTTGTGATGTCATTTACTGCAAAGCTCCCCTCGCTCTCGTTCCTGACACTAGATGGCGCTAGTTGACTTATTCATGCAACAATATCATTGATATGCAGAAGAAACAGCGTTGGCGATAGCACGCAGCCTTGTGAAACACCAGCATTAATAGGCTTGCAATCGGAGCTTGCACCGTCTACAACGACCTTGATGCTCCTATCTGCAAGAAAGCTGATGATCCAATCGCACAATTTCTCGGGAAGCCCAAACCCGATCGAAGGCCTTGGCAATGTCCAAACTAACGGCCAATGCCTCCCCCTTGGACTCTACTGCCTCCGCCCATCTGTGAGTTAGGTAGACCAGAAGATCACCAGCTGATCGACCACGGCGAAAACCGTATTGGCGATCACTAATCAGCTGGTGATCCTCAAGGTACCTCATGAGCTGGCAGTTAACAGTAGACTCCATTGTTTTGAAGAACAAGGAGGTGATGGCGATGGGCCTTTAGTTGGACGGGTCTAAGCGGTCGCCTTTTTTAGGGATCGGGTGGACGAAAGCCGTCTTCCATGTTTTAATCCAACATTAAAATCCCCTGCTGGTCGATTTTGTATAGTTGCCATGCTAGGCAGGCGTGGCGCGGTTTGGCAATCGCAGTTTTTAACCGAAATCGATATTAATTACTATTTATTTTATTTGTTTGGCTGGTTTTTTAATTAGTGGTATCACTTATTACATGAAACTCGACGGCACCCTGTAAGTAGTAAAGTCAAGGTCAAAATATTTTTTGTATCCAAAACATCTTTATTAATCTACTTTATAGTAAGAAATAAAACGCTCTTGCTTCAAAAGCTTTGTTGAAACAAGCACCTACTGCGAGACTCCTTGTGAGAAAAACTCACAAGAAAGCAAGAAAATTTAGCAAGAATCTCACAAGTGGACTCCTTTTCTCCCAACGGCTACAATTTAATAATATAAATAGTATATATAATTAAGATATAATGATACAGATTTGATTTCATTTTATTATATAACCTTAACACTATAAATTCCACAAACATCGTCAAATCAGTTTTTACTGCAAACAATTCTTTTATCAGCCAATAATCCATTGTACTTGTACAGGCTGCAGCACGTACATTTTTATGGCGTCGGCAGTTTACGTTATAACGCTACAATAATGCATTTTGAGTCAGTACGCAATTGAGTCCAGCAATACCGGTCACGCGTGCTCGCAGTATCATTTCCCATCTATCCTTAAATTAGATTTAGTTGGTTCTATCAATAAACTATCAATTATCAACTTCCCAGTATTGACTATCATTTACTATCAACGACCACGTGAGGGTCCCGTCGCAGCCCTTACCTATTTTTGGTCCTTCGACAAACTCGCGTGTGTGTACAAAAAGTGTGCATCACAAGTGAGAGCAACCAGCAGGAGACGTGAGCTATCATCGGATTGTCAACATCGGGAGTCGGTGAGCTGCAAACAGCTGAGCAGATCTGAACAAGTAAGATCTTTCCTTTTTTACTATCACTATGTCCAACATGGAGGATATTTTGGCAAACCAACAACAATTGTTCGGGGCCATAGAACAGACTTTTACCAACTTTAAAAAGGATAGTGCCGATCGAAAGACGGCAGATTATATTAAACGAAGGTTAGATACTCTAGACAAATACTGAGCAGAATTTCAATCTAATCATGGTATATTAAATGGAATAGAGTATGCGAAGTCTCATTCTTTTAAAGTCTCATTATTTTACGAGTAACCAATTTGAATAATTTAGAAATAAATACAAGAAGATTAGAACAGCAATCGCTACCTATCAGGTTAGGGATGACAGGCCTGCAACTCCAGTGTTGAAACCCGCTACACCGCTAGGGGTGCCTGGATCATCTTGGCAGCCGTCGCCGCAGGTTACCCTGTCCCAGTCCCAGGGGACTAATAGCACGACGGACGAAATGTTCGCAAGCAAACTAGTGATTTTAAGGCATTCGAACACACAGTATCCAATATCAACTTAGATTCGATATCAGAAAATTGGGAATTCGATCATTTATTACGTGCTATACAATCGCGTTAGTCTCATAAATGATAATATTCATTGGGAGTTAGACAGTGAGCTTGGGGATAGGAACCCAGATTATGAGTTATCATTTTTCACATACGAAAGAAAATACAACGAGATTATCAAATCCATCAATCGTAAATTGTGGTCTGTATCATATCGAGAGCAATCGACCCCTCACGTAGAGATACCTACATTTAGTGGTAGCTACCATCAGTGGAGTTCCTTCAAAGACCTATTCACGGAAACTATTCACAGCAACCATTCATTCTCTAGTCAATATCTAACGCACAAAAGATGCAATTCCTTAAAACTAAAGTTAGAGGTCAAGCGGAGAGACTTATTCAACAACTACCAATATCATCTGATAATTATCCGATCTGTTGGGACATACTTAACAACAGATATAATAATAAACGCTTAATTTTCCGCTCGCATATCGATATCTTACTAAATGTCCCCGTAATGCAACATACGTCATTAAATCATATAAAGCGTATTCACGACACAACCCTAGAAACATTAAACGCTATCAAAAATTTAGGCGTTAACGTTGATTCGTGGGATTCATTGATTGTGCATCTCCTTTCGCAAAAGCTCGATGCTGACACGCATAATGAATACATGGCGTCAGTCAAGGAGCCCCGCGAGTTACCTAATTTGTATGAATTTCTCTCATTTTAGAAAGCAAGTTTACAAGCTTAGAATCTTCTCGAAAGAAGCGTGAGACCTCTGCAAAAAATGTACATAGCAACAACAATTATTCGCCGCAACATTTCAATAATAGGTATCAAAGAAACTTGAATAAACAAGCCTTTCCGATGCACTGTAAATTTACTTTACAACAATCAAACGCTAATAACAATACTTCTTGGAAATTATATAAGTGTGGACTTTGCAAAACCGATGAACATTGTCTTTATTTCTGTCGACAGTTTTTAAACATGAGACCTTACCTGAAGCTTAAAACTGTATCTAGACTGAATGTATGCGAAAATTGCCTTTATTCACATAATGGTAAGCCATGTATTTCCGACAAAAGATGTATAGAGTGCAATGAAGCGCATAATTCTATTTTGCATAAATCATTTCAACATAATCATAATAATTCGCCGAAGGCAGCAACCCGCGTAAGCAACCAGAAACCTGAAACTTCGGGTCAAGTACGAAGCAACTTACACGTGTCGATGCAATGTGACGTGCCTGAAATTCTTTTGGCTACAGCTATACTTAAGGTACAAAAATATGATGGGAGTTTCGTCAACATGCGTGCTTTAATAGATCAGGGATCCCAAGCTTCTCTCATCAGTGAACATGCGGCCCAGTTGCTCGACCAACCTCGACTTCGATGTAGGGGAGTGATATCTGGAGTAGGCACTAAGGAGAGCAATTGTAAGGGCGTCATGACTATCAAATGCAAAGCTATAAATAACGATTTTGAATTTGAACCGTAGGTATACATAATGAAAAGCCTTATTAAAAATTTACCTTTTCACTTTTACCTTTTTACTTTAGCTTTTCAAAACCGTCCTGGACATATTTAAATAACATCATGTTAGCAGATCCCGAACTTAATATTAGTCGCCCGGTCGACCTTCTATTAGGAACAGATGTTTATTCTTTGATTTTATTGGAGAGAATTTGTAGGTTGAATGATAATATACCGATAGCTCAGAATACTCGTTTAGGCTGGATTTTAACCGGTAACGTCAAAACTTTACAATGTAACGTGATCATTAACGACTTAAAGGAGATCCAAAAATTCTGGGAGATGGAGGATATCAGTGAAAAATCTACGCTATCATTAGATGATCAACAATGCATCGACTATTACAAGTCTACTACTATCAGGCGCGAAGACGGTCGATACGAAGTACGTTTGCCCCTCACCCCAGACTTTTCGGATAAGCTGGGAAAATCAAAAGCTATCGCTCAATTTAGATCGTTAGAAAACACATTCAAAAAACGTGAAAACATTAAAAATCAATATCAATCATTTATAAAGGAATACCGCGCCCTCGGACACATGATTCCAGCTACCGATAAACCGACTCAGGGACGTCGACATTGGTATTAATTCATCATTGTGTGCGTGCTGATGACACTATTATGAATTCTAAATTTAGAGTGGTATTTAACGCTTCGTGTAAAACATCATCGGGGAATAGCTTGAACGACGTCATGAGATGTGATCCTAATCTGCAACTGGATCTGCAGTCTCTCATAATCAAGTGGAGACAATATCAGTTTGCGTTTACAGCCGATATTGAAAAAATGTTCAGGCAGATTTGGATCCACCCCGATGATCAGCAGTTATTAAGAATCGTTTGGCGTGACTCTCCCTCAGAACCTATCAAAGACTATCAACTTACCACGGTCACATACGGTACGAAGGCAACGCCGTTCCTAGCGATGATGACTCAAATAACTTGCATGTGATGAACAACCTAACTATCAAAACAGTCAGGCGATCGACGTATTAAACAACTGTTTTTACATGGACGACCAAGAACTTATCAATTTATTAAAATCAGCTGGATTTCATTTGAGGAAATGGAGATCAAACTCCGATGACTTGATCAGACCGACTTACCGGGGTTGTATAATTTCTCGGGTTTTCCTAAAAATTATACGCATCGGTTGCTCGCACTGGCTTTGCGCTTACACACAACACCGCGTACCGCTGCCAGTGTAAATCTGTTCGTCTCGCCGTCGCGTCGCTCGGCCGTGTCTGTTTCTGTCACTCACGCCACGTGCGCCCCGTGCGTGACAGAGATACACGGCTGTATGCGGCACTTCCCCCGCGGCTCGCCAAGTGTATCACGTGTTTGTCTCTTATACTCAGTCTAATTAAATAAATCATTCAGTGAAATGCGTATTGCGCTAACGAAAGGCAATAAGTAATTTAATAAAAATGGATCGTCATAACTCGAGAAGTGAGAGTAGGTGTAAAAAAAAATTACTATTGGTCCTTCAATTTTTTATTTATTAATTTATTTCAGATAACATAAGATCCATATCATTAAAATTGATTGATTTAAAAACGTTAATTAAATGATAATAATAATAATATGTCATGAAAATACAATAACTAACATACATAACATAACATATAAACACAATAATAACTAACACATAATTATTATTTAGTATCTTCTCACTTCCACAATTACTGGGACATGTTTGTCGCAGCAATGCCGAGGATAGGAGAGTCCAGTCTGTCTCCTATCATTTTCAGAATAATATTGGAGCTGGCCCGCACACTGCGCACCAGTGACGCGCACCGATTACGCATGGTCGCGTGAACACAGGCCGTGTGCGCCTCCGCAAATATGCCAGAGGCACTGCAGAAGCGGGGCAGCCCCAAAACCACCCTGAAAGCGTTATTGTACAGGACGCGGAGATTAACAATGACCAGCCATCAATGCGTGTTGTTTTAACCGCAGGTCATTGATAGTTATCGGAAAACGATGAGTTCACAGCAAAATATATGTCAGAATTCATTTTCGGTCAAGTTTGACGGTTTTGGATCTGTGAAACAGCACGAAAAATCTTCAAAGCTTTAAATCTTAGTTAAGAACGCCAAAACAAATCAAGGTATCACGTTTTTTTTAAACAATATACAACAATAAGGAAGAGGGTTTGATTACCGCTGCTGAAGTTACTTTAACCTTCCATGGTATCAAATATCATCACACTTATAATAGCCAAGTTTTCTGATTCGGTGACTGCGAATAAAAGTACCATGCGGAAGAACAAAAGCGAGCAGTCTTGCCGAAAATGTATAAGAGATGGCTAGTCAAGAATGCTTGGCTTAGACAGTGACTAACTGTACAATAGGTTTGGACTTTTGGGTGAGATGCAACCACAGCTCGCTGAAGAAAATGGAGTGGATTTACGCTGGGTTGACTTCTTTACGAAATCGAAAGACAGAAATCCCTGTCCCTGAATTAAAAAAAAACCGGCCAAGAGCGTGTCGGGCCACGCTCAGTGTAGGGTTCCATAGTTTCCCGTCCGTCACAATGTTCCCACTTATGAGTTTAAAGGTGGGTATCCATTATGTTCGCGCTCCAGCAGCGCTCCGCGCTCCTGCAACTGCTTCCGGTAGTGGGTACTGTTGTTTCCATCCAAGTTCAAAATGATTTTCCTAGAAAGTCCTTATAAAGTTCTACTTTTCAGATTTTTTCATATTTTCTAAACTTATGGTTAAAAAGTTAGAGGGGGGGGACACATTGTTTTTTAATTTTGGAGCGATTATTTCCGAAATTATTGACATTATCAAAAAATCATTTAGTAAACCCCTATTCATTTTTAAATACCTTTCCAACAATATATCACACGTTAGGGTTGAAATTAAAAAAAAAATCACTTCGCTCTTTATATATAGGGGGGCTACCCTAATAAAACATTTTTTCCAATTTTTATTTTACCACTTTGTCGGCGTGATTGATACACATATCGGTACCAAATTTCAGCTTTCCACTACTAACGGTCACAGAGATTAAGCGAGGACGGACAGACGGACAGACAGACATGGCGAAACTATAAGGGTTCCTAGTTGACTACGGAACCCTAAAAAGGTCACGTTTGTTCTTTCCATTCTTGTCTCTAATGCTTCTTACGAGCGCGTATTCAGCACGATGGAACAAGCATGGAGCAAGGAAGGAAAACGAGTGTTGAGTTCGCGCCAAGTTTATTTTTCGTTTTTGACGTTAAAAAGATGTATTCAAAGGGACTTCGTGAAATGGAATATCTGTACTATTGTTGCAGGAGGCGCTATACGTGGAGATCGCGCGGCTGCTGAACCGCGGGCGGCAGTGGGAGCTGGCGGTGGAGGTGGTGAAGGAGCTGGTGTGCGTGTACGAGCAGGAGGCGCTGGGCTACGCGGCGCTGCGCGAGCTGCACGCGCAGCTGGCGGCGCTGTACGAGGCCGCGTGTGCCGCGCGCTCGCACCCCGCGCACTTCCGCGTGCTGTACCACGGCGCCGGCTTCCCGGACCACCTGCGGGTGCCGCACGTGAGTGTACATCCGCACTCTGCCACGTGCCACGCTGTACGAGGCCGCGTGCGCCGCGCGCTCGCACCCCGCGCACTTCCGCGTGCTGTACCACGGCGCCGGCTTCCCGGACCACCTGCGGGTGCCGCACGTGAGTGTACATCCGCACTGTGCCACGTGCCACGCTGTACGAGGCCGCGTGCGCCGCGCGCTCGCACCCCGCGCACTTCCGCGTGCTGTACCACGGCGCCGTTTTTTGTACGTAGTAGAGCCATGCTACAGCTATATTAGTAGTATAGTTGTAACACGAATGGGTCGGCTCGACACAAAATACCAGTGTCAAATAGCAGCTTAACGCTGTTTTGATTCGCATGGTGAGTGTAGAGAACAGGAGACTTTTTACTGGAAACGTGGCATTCCGTCTTAGTCCTCTCCTTAATCGAGGATAGATGTAGATTTCTATGAGCCACAGCCACCACTTACCATCAGGTGAACTATGTGCTGTGCTCGTTTGTCACATCCATCCTATAAAAAAACACTCAACTTCGACTGCAGCGGGGAGGAGAGGAAACCCTACCCCCGATTCACCAACACACATCCGAAGTATGATGGACAAGTTGGAGCGGCTATCTCAGCACCAAGTGGATTTCTCTTTGTTTTCCGTGTGTAACCAGACCACGGCTACCGGGAACCCGTTCGGGGTCTGACGACTGCCGACGACGACAATCGTTAGATATTTCGTTGTTTCGTGCGTAGGGTTTCGTGTACCGCGGCAACGAGTACGAGCAGCTGCAGGAGTTCAAGGAGCGGCTGCTGGATGAGTGGCCCGACGCTGAAGTGCTGCCGCGACTTGACCCACCTGGGGAAGACATCACGCTCTCGGACGGACAGTGTATCCTTTTGTTAAATACTAGCCTCCCGGCGCAGTGTCTTATTTTTTGGTAGATGGAGCGTTGAAGTTCACTCTGAATTTACTCCGGACCTTTTACAATGAAAATTTAGAGTTAATTAAATTCTCTACCGCAGCACTTTTGAATAAAGGTACCGTTTAACTTGTCTTGGTGAAGGGATTTGCGTTTGAGTGTGGTTTAAAAATTAATGTCATATATGAAATTAACAACGTGTTAAACCGTATAGCGGCCGTGTAAAAATATGTACTATCCCATAGCATTCCATGTGTGTCGTAAGAGACGATAAAGTAAACTGAACCAGGATCTGAGAAGCAGCATCTTCCTAATAACAACTTAATATAAATAAAAACGGGGCAAACGAGCATGCGGCTCGCCTGATGCTAAGTGACTACCGCCGCCCATGAACGACCGCAACACCAGGGGAATTGCAAATGCGTTGCCGGCCTTTAAGAAAGGAGTAAGCTCTTTTCTTGAAGGTCAGGTCATCTATAGCAAATATACCTCATGTGAGGCAATCTATGAGAGGTCATACGTTTAACACATTCAAAAATAAGAGAAGACTTGTAGCCACTTGTAGGACGTATAAATATTGTATATTTACTTTTTTATTAAGCTATTGCATAGCTTCTATCGCGGGCCTTGAGCGCGGGGACCGAATCCAGAAATTCCGTAACGAAAAAAAGCCTCACGCTCCCCACTCCGACGGGCACGGAGGTGTGGCGTTAAAAGCCGTGCATCGTCTAACGTCGTTTCAATTCGGCAGACTTCGGCACTCGGCAGAGTCCGGCACGGTGTTTGTGTGCGTGCGCCTAGACGTATGCGTGTACACTAGCTGCTAACTCAATGATAAAAATTCCTGAATAACCTACATGTATTGTAAGATATTAAAAATATTTTAAACAATATTAACTTCTCATTTATTCAATAAGAGAAAAAAAAATTGTTTTCTTATCGGTCACCACGCTCAAAAAGTGTAACTTGATTTAATATCAAAGACTTAACTGCATAAATAAAATAAATAAATAATTATAATTGCATAAGTTGATAAAAAATGCTATGCAATAGCTTTACCGCGGCAATCACCGAGTGCCACACGTATTTTATTTTAAACTTTATATATGTTTTAGAAACTTGCTTTACTAATATTTCGTTACTATTAAGAGCGAGTCCACACGGTGCGTAACGTTGCGTTTTGCCGTCGCAAACCAAATAATTTGACGCATTGCCGGCGCTGCGTCATCGCAAGTAATCCACATCAATTTATAATGGTACTTATTTACTCTGCAAATAAAACTCAAGGAAAAAAAGAAATTAGCTTGCGTGCTATCAACACACAAACAACTGAGCGTTGCCGCTCCAGCGTCGCAAGCAATACACCCCTTCCCCTTCGTCTCGGGGGCTTTCAGTCAGTCTTGTGTGCGTTACGTCAACGCAGCGCACCGTGTGTACGCTATGGTTATTAGCATAGAATACCTTAATACATATATAATAGAACGGGGGAGTGGGCGGAGCCCGTGTAGCCACTAACACGTCACTAACCTGTCAATTCACACTTATAAATGTCAACACAATCAAGCGTTTCCAATTTTCGTGTCAAGCGTTGCTGCATGCAAATTATTTAAAAATGGCAAATTGTGCAATAATTACGTGTCGAAGGAACAGCGGGAAATGGAATTTAAATGAAGGAGACATATCCCACAACCAGTAAGTCGAAACTCCTTATATTTTGTGAATATTAGAAACAAAAATAAAGAAATATTTGTGTCAAATCAGTCTGTCAAGACAGCGAATCGTGTTTGTAGTAGTGATAACTGATAGTACGACGTAATTGCTTGTATGTGTGTTCCCGCGACGCCAATCCTCGTACAAAATAAGGTTGACAGCCATTCTATTGTTTATTATATTATTCTATGGTTATTAGTATGTAAAACAACGACAAAGTGACTGCGCTACGTCAACGCAACGCGCCGTGTGAACTTACCTTAAGGTGGCTCAAGTCGCGGGCTCGAACTCATTGGTGGGCGCGGCCAAAAAGCACGTTGTCTCACCTGGCATCGTGCCCGACAGAGATAGTACCAGTGAAGAGCAGTTAGAACGCACGTCTTGTTCGTACGGCGTTCCGAACCGTTAGAACAAAAACGAAGTTACACGAACACGATGCACACATACATACCACCCTATTCTGTGCCGCTCGACGCTTGGTAAGAAATCAGCAGTACCTACCTACAAACTCGTACTAAATTATTAGGCACTGCGCTACGTTATCGCTTTATACTATACCTCTATGGCTCTATAGATACCTAATATAGATTGCTTATTTTATTATGTTTTGTTTTCCCCGGGTGGTCATGCAGCGATCACTCAAGAGTTACGACGCCGAAGCATGAACTGGAACAGTCATCGCAATTTATATCCGTACTAGCTGTTGCCAGCGGCTTCAAACGCGTGAACTCGAAAATTATCCCACAGGAACGAAATACCTGAATAAACGGTATAAAAAAATGTGTTATTCCAGACCAGGTATAACCTATCTCTGAGCTAAATATCATCCAGATCCCTTCAGCTGTTCTGGCGTGATTGAGTAACAAACATCTATCCATCCAAACTTTCGCATTTATAATATTTAGATAATAATTGTAATTAGTTCTGCCTACCTATAAATTGTTTTCAAAAATACTTACCTGTCTTCTTACTTTTTTTATATACACACAATATCACTAGATGTAAACACATGTTTTTATCAAGACAAGTGACCCGTCAAGACTGTTTCCTTAGTACCGACGTACTTAGGCAGGTAGTAGTAGGTAGGCAAAAACGATTACTACTGAAAAACTAAATAGGTACCTACCTAACATTCAAATAAAAATATTCTCAAAAAGCTCAACCAATTCAGAATTTAATTTTGTTATAAGAAAATTGGTCAAATAAAAAATAAAGGATGAAAATAAAGCATATGGGAATAAAAAAAATCGTATTTATTTGTTATTTCGAGTTTTACAAGAAAAGCATAATATTTACTGGAGAGAATTATTTTATTATTATAATAGTACATGATATTCCCTTTAAAATGACACCAATATGAAAAATATCTTATATCTATATCTACAAATAAATAAAATTTAAGTGTCTGTTTGTAATGTTAAAACAACAGCTTTTTATTAAATGCATATGAAAGTACTAGTAATAAAAACACATTTTTTAAAATTTCAAACACCACAATCTCTAATTTTTTACTCTGCTATCTTCAGCGCTGTACACGAACGGAACGATGTAGTTGAGAGCCGTGGTAGCTCACATGGTTAGCGCTCGTTATAGGTATCACAGTACGGGAGCAACCCGGGTTCGATCCCCACTGGCACCAATGAAATTGTTGCGTGCTGATTTAGCTATCAGTTGGAAAGTCTGTTTTTCTGGGCCGTTTTGTTTTGTTACACTGACATCTCGCAAGTCACCTAGGGACCTAGGAGGTTGTCGGTTGCTTATTTTTTATTTTTCTTTAAAATTTTCGTCGGTAAAATAACATATTTATAAAAGTAAAAAAAAAGTAAAGTTACAGCCTATATACGTCCCACTGCTGGGCACAGGCCTCCTCTAATTTCTGAGAGGGTTTTAAGGCAAGGAAATGTCCGCCACGCTGCCTCAATGCGTGTTGACGAACTTCACATTTCTTCGAAATATATATTTTTTAATTTCTCAGACATGCAGACCCGAGTTCGATCCCCGCCGGTAGCAATGAAATTGTTAATTGCAATTGTGCTGATTTACCACGTGCTCGGCGGTGAAGGAAAACATATTGAGGAAACCTGCACGTCTGAAAATATAATTATAATCGAATGTAAATCAAATTGACATAGGTAAGTACAGATAAAATTAGCGGAACATTAATAAAATTTTGAGATCGTTTTTTTTTTTCAAAATTTTATTTATATATTCCTCTATTTTTGTCTGTGCTTATATCAATTTGATTTAATCCAAAGTTCAAGCAGGGGTCAATGTAGCGTAGTAATTTATAAGTGTCGTCCTCCCGCACCGCACCGAGGGAAAAATTATTCAGTGAGATGCACGATAATTCATATAAACACGCGCGCATAAAAAAATACGAAAAGGCCTTTGGAAGGAGGGGTTTTATGAAAAACCCACTGCATGAATCAATTACCAATAACATTTATTGAATTCTTCGATAATTGAGCTGTGTCGGTACCGACTTTGTTTTGGAAATTTTACACTGCTTTTATTACTAATTTACGCCCAAAGTTGTGTTAAAATTGGCAATAAAAACGAATCTTTGGTAGCTCGTAACTTTTTACTGACTTTTTATTTTACTATTCTGTTTCGGTACAGACAAAATTAATAATGAGACAAAACGATATCATGTTTAACTTTGGATGTACACTGTCAAACAGCGGAGTAAAACCCCTCCGAAATTTCTATGGAAATAATGTCGACTAGAGTCACCTTAATAGTCCATAGTGAATACAACGCCTGATTTACTTTAGTATTGCCATTATACAACATGTATGCTACTTTACTATATTCACAATATTTCATCCTGCCAATTATAAATAGGATACTGTACGAATATTAGTAAAAAGTCAAATGCCCCTTAATCAAAGTAACTAGATCTCCAAATCAACGCCGTGGAGCCGGTGATGGACGACAAGTTGAAGCGGCTGTCGGGTAAGCCCGTGGCTGAACAAATACTGCAGTACCACAGGCACAACAACGTCGACAAGTTCGTGTTCTCCAGGCCGTTCCACAAACCGGGTGAGTTTTCTTAATCTATGTGTGGCGGCTTGGGATTATTTTTAAGTTATATGGTGGACTGTATTGAATTAATATCCCCTGAAACGTTCAGTTACCGCAATCACAAAATTACACCAAGAAAACAATAAAAACTACTCACGGTCTTACTAGCCAGCTTCCCAAGATCAGCAAAACGTTGACAGCTCCTGGTGGCTTCTTCTACACGGTAGAATACACTAGTAAGATGATTGTACACGGTACACTCTAGAGTAGTCCTTAATTTTGAGTTTTCGAAGAAATATGTTCACTCCACGTTAACACAAAGAGATGTAGGTTAATAATAATCTTCTTACGCGTCGTACCCTCCTTTTTATTCCTTTTTTGTCCGCACAGATTATAACAGCGCGTTATGCGTCACACGTTGCTACAGGTTATCACTGGCCCTCAGATCGTTGTAGATCATTGTGCCTTGGTATAAAATTTGCGAGTTGCGGTTTATTACTGAACACACCCCCCACCGAAACCATCTTGATGGTTTCTCCAAAAAATAAGATAAAATTATAACTTAATCTAACTTAATCTCTATCAAGATAACGCTGAGACACAGAATGGTCTCAACGAGAAGGTTATTAATACAAGTAAGCTAATTTGCGTAAGGAAGAGGACTCAGTTTATTAACTGGTCTCTGTAAAGTACTCTTTTGGGTACGAAGCGTTACACAACGAACAATCCCATCTGGGCCGGGGTGAAGAGCCTCTATTCTACCCAAAGGCCAATTGCACGGCGGTATGTTATCAGTTTTTATAATTACAAGATCACCTATTTTAATGTTAGATCTATCCGAATACCACTTTGCTTTCTGTTGTAGCGTATTTAAATATTCACGACTCCATCTACGCCAAAACATTTGTGAACATTTTTGAATATATTGCCAACGTGACAATCGATTCATCGTTATGTCTTCTACATTATACTTAGGTACCGCCGTTAACGCTTTTCCTATTAGAAAGTGTCCCGCTGTCAGTACGTTAAATTCATCCGGGTTATCACTAGCTGGTAACGGGCAGAGCGGTCGCGAGTTGAGAATTGCTTCTACTTTACAAAACACTGTGGTGAGTTCCTCGAACGTCAAACCTTTTTCTCCGACGGCTCGCGCTAAGAGGTACTTGGCGGATTTAATTCCGGCTTCCCAGAGCCCACCCATATGTGGTGCGCTGGGGGGATTAAATTTCCATATAATTTGTCGCTTTGAGCAACCCTCTAATATATTACTTTTTTGCTCGAACATAAACCTTTGTATTTCGGTTAAATGCTTACTAGCCGCGATAAAATTAGTACCGCAATCCGAGTAAAGAAAAGAACACACACCTCGTCGCGCTACAAATCTGTCTAAACACGCGAGGAAACACTCCGATGACAACGACGATAAGACCTCGAGGTGTACAGCTTTTGTCGAGTAACAAATAAATAATGCTAAATATGACCGTTCAATCCCAGCGTTTCGTCGTAAACTTTCTTTTGTAAAGAACGGACCACCGAGGTCTACCCCTACATGCTCAAAAACTTTATTAGGTATCAATCGAGCTGCTGGCAAAGGTGCCATCTCAGGCTGCAAGAGTACGGGATTGTGTTTAAAACAAGTTTTGCATTTGGACAAAACTGACCGAATAATGCGACGGGATGCTAAAATCCAAAAGTTTTGATTAATAATGTTTTGTAAGGTGCGTGGGCCTACGTGTAAATATTTTTTATGTAAATATTCAATAAGTAATTGTGTAAATCTACTATTTTTAGGTAATAAACGGGGATGTTTCGCGTTATAAGGTAAAACTGAATAATTTATTCGACCCCCCACCCTGAGGTATCCGCGATCGTCAATAAACGGAGATAATTTTCTCAACGACGGAATGTACTTTGTGCCCTTTGACAAATTATTTATTTCATTTGCAAAGTATGAACGCTGTACTAGTTTAATTAAGACGTCTTGAGCGGTATTCAATTCGTCAGTGGTCAGTATGGATTGCTTAGAGTGACCGGATTTAAATCGGAACCATCTCAATATTCGAGCAAACGTACGTTGCAGTTTATAATAAGAAGAGAAATGGGAAAAAATTCGGTCACAGAACTCTAACTTAGATTCCTCTATTAAATTATTTTCATTAGTGATTAAATTGACGGAACCTAATGAATAATTTGATTTTATTTCAGGTGTATTACTTTCATCTTGGTTGATAAATGTTCTAATTGGCCACTGCGAGTAGTCATCATACAACCAAGATGGGCCATTTAGCCACTGCTCTTTGCATTCCAAGAGCTGTGACGGAGACGCTCCGCGCGAGCAGATGTCTGCCATATTGCACTCACTACTAACGTGACGCCAAAAGTGCGGAGGTAACACTTCGCATACCTGAGTAACACGGTTACTAACAAACGGCTTTAATTTGTAAGCTTCTGTTTGAAGCCACGCCAATACGATAGTCGAATCGGTTAACGCAGTGATACGATTAATTTTTACACGAGTTAAAATGTCACGGACATATTTAATTAATCTGCTTAACAAAACTGACGCCATCAATTCCAACCTCGGGATAGTTAAGGGTTTGACGGGGGCTACTTTAGATTTTGCTATCACCAAGCGTACTTTAGTCTGACCTCTCTCATTACGACTGATCACATATACACAACTAGCGTAACCGCGAGAACTTGCATCGCAAAAGGCGACTAGTTCACATTCAGACTGTTCTGGTAACAGCATGTGTCTATCTATCTTAATTTCCGTCAGTCGCGGGAGATCATCAACGTAATTAAGCCAGCGCTTAGTTACGTCAGTTGGCAGTTGCTCATCCCATCCTATGCCCAGCTTCCATAAATCTTGCATTATTTCTTTCGCGATGAAAATGCACGGCGAAATAAAACCTACGGGGTCGTAAATAGAAGCTAATAATTTCAAAACAGAACGTTTAGTTGTTACTTTGTCAGTCTTATCTACTGCGAAATAAAAACAGTCAGTCAAAGGGAACCACTTCAGACCTAGCACTTTGACTGAATATTCGTTACCATCTTTCAGGAATGTTACAGGACACTCTCGGTTTTCTAACGGAACGCGTTCTAAGACCTTTCCGCTATTACTCGCCCATCTCTTAAGTATAAAGCCGCCGGAATTAAACATCGCTATAAGTTCATCTTGTAACTGAGATATCTGTGACAAGGAACTACAAGAATATAGGATATCATCCATGTACACGCCCTCGCGCACAACCGTTGCAGCGAGCGGATAGTGTTCTCCCTCATCATGGGCTAATTGCAAAAGTGTGCGGATAGCTAAAAACGGCGAGCAACTTAAGCCGTAAGTGACTGTCTTTAATTCATATACGTTGATGGTATCATTAGGCGAATGACGATATAAAATATGTTGATAACATCTATCCGACGGATTCAGTTTGATTGCACGATACATTTTGCATACGTCGCAAATCAAACAATATTCAAACAACCTAAAATTCAATATTATAGCCCCAATATCTCGATACAGATTAGGCCCGGTTAGTAGAATATCATTAAGCGAAACATTCGTGGACGTTTTTGCCGAGGCATCGAACACCACTCGCACAGGAGTGCTGGAACTACTGGGCTTAAGTACACTATGATGTGGTATCACATATTTACTCGGAGTGTCACCCGTATAAAGCTCCATATGCCCTAGATGTTCATATTCGCACATGAACTCTGAATAGGCTTGCCGTAATAAAGGTAAACGATTCAACTTGCGCTCTGTGAACAAGAGTCGTCGCTCGGCTGCAGCCCTTGAAGCGCCCAACGGAGGCGGGTCTGGTATGAATGGTAACGGCACTGAATAGCTACCGTCCTCAGCGCGGCTAGAACGAGCCACGAAAATATCTTCTGCTAATTGTTCTAAAGGATTTATCGAAGGCTTGCTGGACAATTCTTCGACTTCCCAAAACTTACGCAACGTTTGATCTAAAGACTCTTGTTCATCAAACGAGACTGATAAATTATAGTTTCTTAAATTGTCCTTTTCATTGTAATAAAGTTTACCACTTACAACAAACCCGAAAGCGGTATCGATCACGCTTGGTATATCCGATGAAATAATATAAGGTTTATCATAAATAAGTTCTGAAACTATATCATTGCCCAACAATATATCAATACGTGAGCGCTTATAAAACATCGGATCAGCTAAATTAAAATTCTTATATTTATTAATAACGTCCGAGGGGAATCGAACGTTAGGCATATCGGCAGATACCTTAGTCACTATGACCATGTTCACTCTAAAACTAGGCAAGTCAGTGTGTAGGGACCTTAATGTGCATGAAATCATTCTATGATTTTTTACTGCCTCTCCACCAAGGCCATAAATGTTAAACGAACATTTTTTCCGAGGTAAGCCCAAACGTTGAGCGCACTCAGTTGTAATAAATGAGCTCTGAGCTCCAGAGTCAATAACTGCACGGCAGTATTGATACTGACCGCTACTATCATTTGCTAATACACGCGCCGTTCCTAATACGACACCGTAATTCGAGTGAACGTCGTTGTAATGAAGCGTATCTATCGTATAATGCTCCGAGTCGCTCGTAGTCTGAGAAGAAACGAGTGCTTGTTGCGCTTGCGAATCAGCGCTCATTAAACTAGTGGATGTTGGCAAGGCCGCGTCGCGCACAGGCTCCCTATGCAATAGATAATGATGTGATGACGCACATACACCACAGGACATCTCACTTTTACAAGTTGAAGTATCATGATTTCCTTTTAGGCAATTATGACACAATTTTAAAGTATTGACACGGTCAATCCTTTTATCTACGGTCAATTTACGAAATTGATCGCACCTGTAAATCATATGATTTTGATTGCAATGCGCACAAATGAATTTATTTTTATTATAATTTGACACATTAGTATTTAAAACTGTTTTTGATATACTTTTATTGTAGTTATTATTGTTGCTTTTGTAATTGTTACATGTAGGCTTATTTCTTGATTGTAACGAAATCGCACTTGTATTAGATGAATGTTCGAGTACTTTAACTTGTTTATTTACAACACTAATTAATTCCGAAAACGATGGAAGTGCGTTTTGATCTCGATTTTGTTCAAAAAGTCTCCTAGTATGCGCATCCAACCCACGTAAGGCTAAATGACAAAATAAATAGTCATGCAAATTTTTTATTTTTAACGCCTCGATGGCTTTAAAAGAGTGATCGAATGTTTCAATAAATAAGGTAAGATTTGCGGTAGTATCCTTATTTAACGGCGTAAAGTTTATCATTTTGTCGATGTACCTACCCACGAGTATTCGATCATCTTGATATTTATTACATAAACTTTGCCATACGAGAATATAATTAGCGGATGTTATAGGCAGTTTTTTAACAATGTTTAACGCCGAACCTTTAACACATGAGAGTAAATAGTGAAACTTGTCTATTTCGTCGAAATCTCGATTGTGAACAAGTGATAAAAATGTATCGTAGAATGTGGACCACTTCTCAATATCGCCATCGAATTCGAATAATCGCAATTTAGGTAACGACGGCCTTACATCAATCCTATCTTTCCCACTGATGGGTGCCTGATCGCTCGGTTTTAATCGTAAATATTGTAATCTACATGCCTTATAAAGTTCATCAAATGTATCTAATTCACGGGTTGACAATCTTGTCTCCGGTTTTAATGATATATCTATTTCAATAATATTTAACACTGTTTCTTCAAACTTTGAGCGGACACTTTCTAATTCGGAATAATCCGCTAAGAAATTCTGGATTTGTGCGGAATCATTCATTTGGGTTTTCGCAAGATCGAAAACCTTTTGTAATTTAGCAAATAGGTATTCCTTTTTAAAAATAAGTGTTTGCCTTTTTTATCTGCAATTTGTCCGACATTTTGAACAAAAACAACAAGGTGAATTTAGATACTTTATAAACGTACCGCAAGCAATGAAAATTTAGGTAGAAAAAGGCGAATTAAATAAGTGTTAAACAATAAAATAAAATAAAAACGCTTAATTCAAGTATATGACACGTCCACGGGACGCTAATTAAGGGTAGAAATCTTATATATGAAAATCACTAATTTAAATAAATCCGGCTCGAAGGACCAGAAATGTGGCGGCTTGGGATTATTTTTAAGTTATATGGTGGACTGTATTGAATTAATATCCCCTGAAACGTTCAGTTACCGCAATCACAAAATTACACCAAGAAAACAATAAAAACTACTCACGGTCTTACTAGCCAGCTTCCCAAGATCAGCAAAACGTTGACAGCTCCTGGTGGCTTCTTCTACACGGTAGAATACACTAGTAAGATGATTGTACACGGTACACTCTAGAGTAGTCCTTAATTTTGAGTTTTCGAAGAAATATGTTCACTCCACGTTAACACAAAGAGATGTAGGTTAATAATAATCTTCTTACGCGTCGTACCCTCCTTTTTATTCCTTTTTTGTCCGCACAGATTATAACAGCGCGTTATGCGTCACACGTTGCTACAGGTTATCACTGGCCCTCAGATCGTTGTAGATCATTGTGCCTTGGTATAAAATTTGCGAGTTGCGGTTTATTACTGAACACTATGTTATTATACTAGTGATCCGGCCCGATTTCGCACGAGTGTTTTCTGGATCTCGATCGATGGACCGAGTAAACCTAACAAACTAGGTGTGGCGGCGCTGTTGTCGACCACACCGAAGCCTAAATCACGCTATCAAAAATTCCGAATCATAAACAGTATACATAGAACATCTCCGAACTATCACTTGGAGTGTTGGCCGCTCCCCTGGCAGAACACCTTGCCCGGCGGGAGATCTCCCCTTTCCCACCTCCGGCTACAGTGGTGACCCCGACGTGATCTGAACACGCAATCAACAACCTTCGGAAAATTCAAGCTTCGTCATCGTCATAGAATACCCCACCCATTCGCTCCCGAGCAGATATCGTCTGCAGTCTTCATATCCTGCAAGCCATCTAGCTTCACAAGGTTCATCGCAGCACTGGAATAATAATGCTTCCGGTTCCTTCAAGCTACTCTCTGCGTTATACAGTGTTCGGCACGGCTCTGAGCCTTACTGCTCGCCGCTGCTTCACGGCGCTTTCGCAGATTACTTGCCTTCTTCTCGACTCACCGCAGACTACAAGGCAATCTCCTGGCACTTGCACATTCGTCGGCAACGAGGCTACACTATCGACCTCCGGTCTGAGCAGGGGGGTGATATGGCGGCGCTGTTGTCGAACACATCGAAGCCTAAATCACGCTATCAAAAATTCCGAATCATAAACAGTATATATAGAACATCTCCGAACTATCACTTGGAGTGTTGGCCGCTCCCCGGGCAGAACATCTTGCCCGGCGGGAGATCTCCCCTTTCCCACCTCCGGCCACATAGGAACGCACTCAAACACACGAAAAATTTCATCAGAATCGCGCATTGAGAACGCTCAAGTGATGATCTTTCATACATGCGGCATTTGGTTTTATTTATATATTATAGATGTATGAATATAAAAGAATAAAGATATTAATTAATTTGCAACCATCCGCTAACTAAATACAATGATGTGTCTTACCTGGATTGAAGAGCACCTCCCGCCCTCCCTCAATTGCGTGTACCAACCGTCACCACCAATCAAAGAGACCCATTTTACTGGAAATGAGGCATTCCATCTTAGTCCTCACGGGTGACAACGCATCTGCGTTTTGATTCGTAATCGAGGATAGATGTAGATGTCTATGGGCCACAGCAACCACTTACCATCAGGTGGACTGTGTGCTCGTTTGTCACCCTATCCTATATAAAAAAGCGCCACTACTCCCTACAACACTAAGGTAGCTGACCGCTAACGTAGAGTCTACATTACCTGAGGATGCCTCGTGTAGAGGCGAAACACGTGTCGTATTATCGTCGATGGTGTGTCTTTCTTGGAATAGTGGTGTTGGGAGTAGTCGTGCCGGGAGTAGTGGTGTTGGGAGTAGTGGTGCTGGGATTGGTGGTGACGGGATTGCTGCACGCGATTGAGGGAGGGCGGGAGGTGCTCTTCAATCCAGGTAGGACACATCGTTGTATTTATTTAGCGGATGGTTGCAAATTAATTAATATCTTTATTATAATGAATTTCCGCAAAGTAATGCGTGATTCTATCAATTATCGAATATAAAAGAGGTTTATAATTCATTTTTCACCCACTTCCGAACACATATACTTCTATTTATACATTTATTTCATACACACATACTTCTATATCACATTATCTCTTCTATTATACTCATCACTCAACTAAACTGCTAAATTTAAACAAGAGGAGATTCATCGTTCGTACATCTATGGATGTGGACTCAACTAAGCTGAAAATATTAACTTATTCTTTTGCCTCATTTGTCTACAGATGAGTCTTTAGCGGGATCCAACGATGACGTATCGAGTCAGAACGAATTTGCCACAAGATGGCTGGAGCGTACTGAACTTGAAATTAGCGAAAAGTTACCCGGTAAGTTTTTTGAAATTAATATTGTTTTATTCACTCCACTAATTTTACATCATAACTTACACTATTTAAATAAAAGGTTCCATTCATTACATTGAGAGGTTAACGTCGGCAGCCGTACTAGTATAAACTGTGCCACGCCTGCCTGCGCCTTCCACTCTGGGAATTTAAATAAAGTTTAGTAATAATGTAGTGAGCGGTATGTTGAAATGCAATATTCATTAATTCATTTATCTATCTTCGTTACAGTGTATCAAAAATCCACCATACAAGAGCACACATAAGAGTGGTGCTAGCTCAGATTGTTAGAGCTCGCTGTAAATTTTACAAATGAAATTATTAATTGCAATTTTATGTGCTGATTTACCACGTGCTCGGCGGTGAAAAAAACATCATGAAACCTGCATGTCTGATAAATAAGAAAAAAATATTTCGAAAACATGTGAGGTTCGCCAACACGCATTAGGGCAACGCGGCGTACACTTCCTTGCCTTATAACCCTCTTAGAAATGGGAGGCATGTGCAGTGGGACGTATATAGACTGACTTTAACTATATCCAACAAAAATCCACAACGGAGCATTGGCGTCCCCCATGGATTGTCACGTTTAAGTTCCTACTACCCATTTATTTCATTTTTCTTTTTTGATACATCGCTGGCGATATAATGCATATATCTTCGTTTTGCCGTTACAAATTGAATTGATCGATGACCGAGACGTAATGTAAAGCTACTTTCTAATATGTTATGATATATATAAAGCAAACTGCTTTATATATTATTAATAATATATAAGTTATCTTAGGTATTTACGATGCTGCTTCGCCATGTATGGTTATTCAAACTTTGTCTGGCGGAATATGTGGTGTAGTACAAAATCGCTTCGTTATATATCATTAGAATTATTTTGTTAATGAGTTTCACTGATGAGCTTCGAAGCCGCTTCGTTATTCTTTTTTATAAATATTTATTTAATAAGTTACCACTGATGAGCTACGAAGCTGCTTGGTGATGTAGGATGCACTACGAAGTTGCTTCATTATATATCCTTAGACGTATTAAAAATAATACGTAAACTACAATACAGACGTAAATAATACGTAAGCTGGTGAAGTAGGAAGCTGCTTCGCAGTGCAAGATGGACTAGGAAGCAGGTTGTGTTGAGGGCGCTTGGTCGGCAGGCATCCTGCGCTGGTTCCCGGTGGTGGCGGCGCGCACGTACTGGGTGTCGCCGCTGGCGGCCGCCGTGGAGGCGCTGCGTGACACCAACCGCGCGCTCAAGGCGCTCGTGCTGCAGGCGCGGGCGAGTGATGCGCCGCTGCACCAGCTCACCATGCGGCTCAGTGGTGCGTCGTTTGTTTTATAACGTTCAGTATAAAACGATAACACACTCCTCCTGGCGGTAAGTTTTAGACGTGGTAGAACTATGCTGCGGCTATCCATAATTGTTTTATAACGTTCAGTATATAACGATAACACACTCCTCCTGGCGGTAAGTTTTAGACGTGGTAGAACTATGCTGCGGCTATCCATAATTGTTTTATAACGTTCAGTATATAACGATAACACACTCCTCCTGGCGGTAAGTTTTACACGTGGTAGAACCATGCTGCGGCTATCCATAATTGTTTTATAACGTTCAGTATATAACGATAACACACTCCTCCTGGCGGTAAGTTTTACACGTGGTAGAACTATGCTGCGGCTATCCATAATTGTTTTATAACGTTCAGTATATAACGATAACACACTCCTCCTGGCGGTAAGTTTTACACGTGGTAGAACCATGCTGCGGCTATCCATAATTGTTTTATAACGTTCAGTATATAACGATAACACACTCCTCCTGGCGGTAAGTTTTACACGTGGTAGAACCATGCTGCGGCTATCCATAATTGTTTTATAACGTTCAGTATATAACGATAACACACTCCTCCTGGCGGTAAGTTTTACACGTGGTAGAACCATGCTGCGGCTATCCATAATTGTTTTATAACGTTCAGTATATAACGATAACACACTCCTCCTGGCGGTAAGTTTTACACGTGGTAGAACCATGCTGCGGCTATCCATAATTGTTTTATAACGTTCAGTATATAACGATAACACACTCCTCCTGGCGGTAAGTTTTACACGTGGTAGAACCATGCTGCGGCTATCCATAATTGTTTTATAACGTTCAGTATATAACGATAACACACTCCTCCTGGCGGTAAGTTTTACACGTGGTAGAACCATGCTGCGGCTATCCATAATTGTTTTATAACGTTCAGTATATAACGATAACACACTCCTCCTGGCGGTAAGTTTTACACGTGGTAGAACCATGCTGCGGCTATCCATAATTGTTTTATAACGTTCAGTATATAACGATAACACACTCCTCCTGGCGGTAAGTTTTACACGTGGTAGAACTATGCTGCGGCTATCCATAATTGTTTTATAACGTTCAGTATATAACGATAACACACTCCTCCTGGCGGTAAGTTTTACACGTGGTAGAACCATGCTGCGGCTATCCATAATTGTTTTATAACGTTCAGTATATAACGATAACACACTCCTCCTGGCGGTAAGTTTTACACGTGGTAGAACTATGCTGCGGCTATCCATAATTGTTTTATAACGTTCAGTATATAACGATAACACACTCCTCCTGGCGGTAAGTTTTACACGTGGTAGAACCATGCTGCGGCTATCCATAATTGTTTTATAACGTTCAGTATATAACGATAACACACTCCTCCTGGCGGTAAGTTTTACACGTGGTAGAACCATGCTGCGGCTATCCATAATTGTTTTATAACGTTCAGTATATAACGATAACACACTCCTCCTGGCGGTAAGTTTTACACGTGGTAGAACTATGCTGCGGCTATCCATAATTGTTTTATAACGTTCAGTATATAACGATAACACACTCCTCCTGGCGGTAAGTTTTACACGTGGTAGAACTATGCTGCGGCTATCCATAATTGTTTTATAACGTTCAGTATATAACGATAACACACTCCTCCTGGCGGTAAGTTTTACACGTGGTAGAACCATGCTGCGGCTATCCATAATTGTTTTATAACGTTCAGTATATAACGATAACACACTCCTCCTGGCGGTAAGTTTTACACGTGGTAGAACCATGCTGCGGCTATCCATAATTGTTTTATAACGTTCAGTATATAACGATAACACACTCCTCCTGGCGGTAAGTTTTACACGTGGTAGAACCATGCTGCGGCTATCCATAATTGTTTTATAACGTTCAGTATATAACGATAACACACTCCTCCTGGCGGTAAGTTTTACACGTGGTAGAACCATGCTGCGGCTATCCATAATTGTTTTATAACGTTCAGTATATAACGATAACACACTCCTCCTGGCGGTAAGTTTTACACGTGGTAGAACCATGCTGCGGCTATCCATAATTGTTTTATAACGTTCAGTATATAACGATAACACACTCCTCCTGGCGGTAAGTTTTACACGTGGTAGAACTATGCTGCGGCTATCCATAATTGTTTTATAACGTTCAGTATATAACGATAACACACTCCTCCTGGCGGTAAGTTTTACACGTGGTAGAACCATGCTGCGGCTATCCATAATTGTTTTATAACGTTCAGTATATAACGATAACACACTCCTCCTGGCGGTAAGTTTTACACGTGGTAGAACCATGCTGCGGCTATCCATAATTGTTTTATAACGTTCAGTATATAACGATAACACACTCCTCCTGGCGGTAAGTTTTACACGTGGTAGAACTATGCTGCGGCTATCCATAATTGTTTTATAACGTTCAGTATATAACGATAACACACTCCTCCTGGCGGTAAGTTTTACACGTGGTAGAACTATGCTGCGGCTATCCATAATTGTTTTATAACGTTCAGTATATAACGATAACACACTCCTCCTGGCGGTAAGTTTTAGACGTGGTAGAACTATGCTGCGGCTATCCATAATTGTTTTATAACGTTCAGTATATAACGATAACACACTCCTCCTGGCGGTAAGTTTTAGACGTGGTAGAACTATGCTGCGGCTATCCATAATTGTTTTATAACGTTCAGTATATAACGATAACACACTCCTCCTGGCGGTAAGTTTTAGACGTGGTAGAACTATGCTGCGGCTATCCATAATTGTTTTATAACGTTCAGTATATAACGATAACACACTCCTCCTGGCGGTAAGTTTTAGACGTGGTAGAACTATGCTGCGGCTATCCATAATTGTTTTATAACGTTCAGTATATAACGATAACACACTCCTCCTGGCGGTAAGTTTTACACGTGGTAGAACTATGCTGCGGCTATCCATAATTGTTTTATAACGTTCAGTATATAACGATAACACACTCCTCCTGGCGGTAAGTTTTACACGTGGTAGAACCATGCTGCGGCTATCCATAATTGTTTTATAACGTTCAGTATATAACGATAACACACTCCTCCTGGCGGTAAGTTTTACACGTGGTAGAACTATGCTGCGGCTATCCATAATTGTTTTATAACGTTCAGTATATAACGATAACACACTCCTCCTGGCGGTAAGTTTTAGACGTGGTAGAACTATGCTGCGGCTATCCATAATTGTTTTATAACGTTCAGTATATAACGATAACACACTCCTCCTGGCGGTAAGTTTTACACGTGGTAGAACCATGCTGCGGCTATCCATAATTGTTTTATAACGTTCAGTATATAACGATAACACACTCCTCCTGGCGGTAAGTTTTACACGTGGTAGAACCATGCTGCGGCTATCCATAATTGTTTTATAACGTTCAGTATATAACGATAACACACTCTTCCTGGCGGTAAGTTTTACACGTGGTAGAACCATGCTGCGGCTATCCATAATTGATTCTAATATGAGTTGGACGACTCTCACAAAATACTAGTGTAATATAGCATTTTAATACTATTATGCTTCGTATGATGAGCGTAAAACGTGGAATACTATACCAGACTAGGAATACTGCTGTGTCTTATTGCAGTGTTTTATGGCGTAAATGTAGAAAACCGAAAACCCTTATTCTGGAAATGAGACAGACATTCCATCTTATTCCTCAAGGATGATACGCAACTGCATTTAATTTTTAATCGAAAATAAATGTAGATGTTTATAGCCACAACATTCAGTTACTGTTGGGTGGAGCAACATGCTCGTCTGTGACCCTTATACTAAAAAGAAAACTCCATCTAACAGCTCTGTAGTGCTTAGTGCTGTGGCTAAGCGTTCGGCTGCGGCGCTGGGAGCCGTAGGTGCACATTCTTTACGGAAAAGTGTTTATAGGGCCTACAAGTAATTATTCTGGATGTATTCTTGTGCAATTTTAAATCATCTCGACCATACAGGCCAAGATCGCAGTAAATAAGATAAATAAATAAAACTACTTGAATATAACATAGTGCATTACGATAAAACAGACTTAAGTAGCCGATTATTGAACCGTGTGAAGTTAACGCACGAGCGAAACGAGTGCACTATACACTTTCTAATAATCAGTTACTTAAGTTCTGTGTATCGTACATTATTTTATAGTACAATTGACTTAAAATCAATTTTTTTATTAAAAAGTTGTAGAATACTAAAGATTTAATTGAACGAGACCAAAAGTACAACGAGTCTCAATTTACAGAAGTTTTGTATGATCGCGATGTGGCTTAAATTACGTAAATGATTTATCAAACCTGAATTCACAACGGTCTTTGTTTAGCAATTGTAATGTGACAGTAAATGATAGTAATTGTAATTGTGTTGTGGCCGTGGAAGGAAAAGGGGAGATCTCCCGCCGGGCAAGATCAGCCCGGGGAGCGGCCAACACTCCATAGTTCTGAGATGATTCTATATATACTGTTTATGATTCGGAATTTTCATAGCGTAATTTAGGCTTCAGTGTGTTTCGCTTGCGGCGCGAAGACAGCACCGCCACATCACCCCCCTGCTCAGACCGGAGGTCGATAGTGCAGACTCGTTGCCGATGAATGTGCAAGTGCCAGTGGATTGCCTTGTAGTCTGCGGTGAGTCGAGAAGAAGACAAGTAATCTGCGAGAGTGCCGTGAAGCAGAGGCGAGCATAAAGGCTCAGAGCCGTGCCGAACACTGTATAGCGCAGAGAGTAGCTTGAAGGAACACGAAGCATTATTATTCCAATGCTGTGATGAACCTTGTGAAGCTAGATGGCTTGCAGGATATGAAGACTGTAGACGATATCTGCTCGGGAGTGAATGGGTGGGGTACTCTATGACGATGATGAAGCTTGAAGTTTCTGAAGTATAGTTGCGTGTTCAGATCACGTCGGGTGTTCACCACTGTGTCGTAGAAGGAAAAGAGGAGATCTCCCGCCGGGCAAGATGTTCAGCCCGGGGAGCGGCCAACACTCCATGTGATAGTTCGGAGATGTTCTATATATACTGTTTATGGTTCGGTATTTTGATAGCGTGATTTAGGCTTCGGTGTGTTTCGCTTGCGGCGCGATTACAGCGCCGCCACAGTGTTTTTAATAATCATTCTTTAAAAATACAGTTCAATCTAAAAACTTAAAAAAAAGTTTAAATTACTTTATGTCAAGTATTTATTTATGTTACTAATCAAAGTTCTATTGTTCTATATTTATTATTTTAAATCAGTGAATATATAATTTTTAAAAAATTATAAAATATTATAGATTTTATGCGTGTCTTAAGTAAAACATACCGTACAATAATTGGTTACATATGTCCCACCTTTAAGTCACGCTCATGACTTAAAGGTGGTTTTAAGTCACCGTGTACTATAAAAATATTATAAAAAAATTATTCCGTCTTATTATTCCCGTTTTCACAAGTCCTCAATGAAATTTATGACTGACGTACGGCCAACGAGAAGCGATACCAAATCTAAATAAAACCAATGCAAGGTTATTAGGAATAGTAGCGGTGCGTAACTTTTTGATAGTTGGATTATATATTTAAGTAGACAATATAGTTTTAAAAAATATCTAGCAAACCAAAAAATAGATTTTTTATAATTTTTTTTATAATATGAATTATTGTATAATGTGGATTTAAATTAAATAACGAGAATAATAATAATGTTTCTGAATATCGCTAGCCTAACAAATGTATGTCCGGTGTATGGTAAGGCTTGCCTTCTGTTACATAGGGACTTAAATATATCAGGCAAAATGTGGGTGTTAATATCTCTGCCTACCCCTTAGGAGATACAGGAGTCATGTTATGTTATGTTTATGGAAATTTACTTTAAGATAACTTTAAAGTACACTCCGAACCAAGAAGTTTTAATTAAAACTACTAAACAACATTCATGTATATCCTATTCCTACACATACCTTTTGACGTTTCTTTTTCGGAGAAGTAAAATCTGTTGATTTATCTCTCGACGTACTTGGTTGCGGCTCCATAATTAACCACTCTTAATAAAAACCAATTATCAACAAAACAAAATAACAATAATTAAATAAACAACAAAAAATAACAAATAACTTGTATCACCACGAGCGCGCTGCGAAACGAAATGAATCACTATTATTACTAAAATGGCTTTCCGAATGTTGGCGAACCCGTCTTGACCCTGACATGTTTCTGCCGGGAAAACGAGACATTACGACGAATAAACAAGATGGAAAGAGATAGATAATAGACTGTCAACTCCACAGTCGTTTTTAAGGTAAATGACGTTTCGTATCGATGCTAGTCGGCCGTACTTTAAATAGTAGAAGACAGTCATGTTCATACATATTTTTTTACTTTCTTTTACACATATTAACATAGTCACATTATTAATATTGTTTGGTCAATTAAGTTCAATATATAGCGTACGTGGGGGTAATATGTTCATATGGTTAACATTCACTTTCTTATTACTCTGCAGATAGCTCTGCGATATGATGGTAGCTTTTCGTCAGTCAATCAAATGATAAACGGTCAAAAAGGCGCTCGTTCATCGACGCCATTTTGACAGTTGACAGTACAGTAAATATGGTGATTATCTGGGTTTTTTTTTCCTAGTTATATATAATAATAACTATTGTCAAAACTTGTTTGCTTTATATTTCTGAATAATATACTAGGTAATATTATATTATATACTATGTATTATATTTGTATACGGTATAGTATACGACTTTGTGAGGCGGCAAAGCTGAAAGTGACCATATTACTGTCGCTTACCTTAAAATGTGTTGTATTTACTTGTGCAGGTATCCTGGACCCCGCAGTGCAGGGCGGTATAGTGAACTACGAGCGCGCGTTCCTCACAACAGCGTACGAGTCAAGGCATCCAGAACACGCGGAGCTACTGGCGCAGCTGCGAGACCTCATCGCGGACCAGGTCCCTCTACTTAAACTTGGTACGTCACACGTGTACTTATTATGCCAATCTCAAGCACCTTTGGTGTATCAAATGTGCAGACCATGATGAGCAAAGAATTACCAATTGATACTAACCTGGTAGAACAACGTTGCAGCTATATTATGGTTGTAGCACGAATGGGTGGGTTTGACCAGAGTAGGATCACGTTCTCAATGGATAATAGGTAAAACTGAAAATATTTCGTATGGTGAGTGTGGAGAAACGTAAACCCTTTTTACTGGTAAAATAGACATTCCGCCTCATTATTCAGGAGTGAGAACACATCTGCATTTTGGTTTTTATTTGAGTAAAGATGTAGATGTGTATGAACCACAACATCCTCTTACTTTAAGGTGGACTATGTTCTCGTTTATAATTTAAAAACCATAAATACACGTCGTATTTAATTGTTTATTCTATTTCTTCTTTCTCTCCCTTTTCCCTGTTTTTTCCATCTTTCTCTCTCTCTCGCTCGCTCTCTCTCTCTCTCTGTCATTCTCTATTTAATGACGATTAAAAAGATAGGTACAGAATTAGTTAACACTTTTAAATCTTAACTAATTTAGTTAATACTTTTAAGTCTTAATTAACTCTGTAACTTGTCTGTAACTAACTCTGTACTTCAAAAGAGCTTACTCCTCTCTAAAGGGCCGCCAACGCACCTGTAATTCCCCTGCTGTTGCGGTTGATCATGGGCGGCGGTAGTCACTTAACATCAGGTGAGCCGCATGCTCGTTTGCCCCCTTTTTTATTAAAAAAAAAGCAATAATCAATGACTATAAGAAGTACTGTACATATAAAATTAATAACATACGTTAATGTTGTTGTTTTTTTAAATATGATAAGGGTGACAAACAAGTACACAGTCCACCTGATGGTTAGTGGATACTGTGGTTCTCGATTTAGAATCAAAATGCAGATGCGTTGTCACTCGTGAGGACTAAGATGTAATGTCTCGTTTCCAGTAAAAAGGGTATACGGTCCCTACACTCACAATATGAAACACTGCAACATTAAGCTGCTATTTTACTCTGGTATTCTGTGTAATTCCTTTTTCTGTAATCCGGTCATTTCTTTCAATGGAAGTTTTCAATTTTTGGTGTGGGGAGCCTAAGTGAAATTGTTCTGTGGTGCAGGCTTAGAAGTCCACAAGTCGCGGATCTCGCCAGATCTGCAGGCGCTTCACGAGCACATGGAGTCGTGCTTCCACCGCGTGCAAAACCACGTGCACCAGAGATACGGACGCAAGGTATCTTTCCACGTCTTTCTTTAATTAGGCGATAAGACCTAGAAGTCAGTCCGGGTAGGTTGTTTTTAGGTGGTTATTGCTTATCTACTTTTGTCGAAAAACAAGCAGAACTTGTACTGTTGTTTTCCGGACTGAGGGATATTAAGAACTAGTAATTTAAACTGCTGGCCGTATGAGGGAGCTCAAGGTCGCTCAGCGATCTATGGAGAGGGCTATGTTCGGGGTTTCTCTGCGTGATAAACTTAGAAGAGTGCGGCCACTCTGGTTCTGCTGCGGATATCTCCCTTTATTAGCGGTACGTAGCCCATCGGTTTAGTTAGCTGAAGTGGCAATGGGCCGGCCATATAGCTCGAAGAACTGACAACCGATGGAGAACAAAGGTTCCCGAGTGGCAGCCTCGTATCGGTAGGCATAGTGTAGGGCGATCCCCCACTAGATGGAGTGACGACCGGGTAAGACATGCAGGAAGTCGATGGATGCAGGTGGCTCAGGACCGTGCTTTGTGGCGTTCCTTGGGGGAAAAGCCTATGTTCAGCAGACTTGTGAAGAGCTGTAATGATGATGATGAAATTACAAGTCTGTGAGGCATTCCATCTTAGTCTTCAGAGATGACAATGCATCTGTAGCGTTATTTGAAGTTGGTTGCAGATGTCCATAGGCTTCAGTAGCCTCTTAGCAGGTGCTCATAATTTTGTTGCTTCAGTATTTTTAAATAATTGCTTCGCTAAATTTAATGTAGCACCTAAACTTACACACTTCTTGTTTTTTTATCTATAAGCTCGCAAAAGTCTACAGTTGTTCAAGATTCCACAGGGAATTACCTGAATCGTAATGCTTGGCATTGCTCCCTTGCTTCCCATCGCTGATCTGAGGCTTTACACCTAACTTCAACGAGACATTATACTGCTCTTTATCGGAATCTATGTTTATTTTTTCTGGCATTTAGAAAGAAAATATTTATATCACCACGTAAGCGCAACGCTATATTGTACATAATGTTTTCTCATTTTGAACGTTTTTAATAATATTGCAAGCCATAGTTGATACCCCTAGCGCCATCTGGTGTCGGAGAGCAGAGCGAGGAGAGCTTTCTAGAAAATGCCGTGCCTGAAAGAATGAAAATGACAATGAAAAATCTTTATTCAGTATCTTTTACATACATACGTAACATGACTAATGGCTGGAATCTCCTTTTAAGTATGATACTTGTGTTAGGAGACTCCGCTGCTGAACTTTCCACCAACAGCGCTATCTAGTATCTAATTGAAGAATTAAGCTTTCTAGAATAGTCCACACTCGAACTTTCTACATCTAGTCGGTCGGGACCGGTATTTGCTGGAATATTCTAGATGTTTCGGTGGAAAAGACCTATATAAAGCCTATATAAAGCTTAGCGGTCAGCCGCCGTAGAGTCTACATTACCTGAGGATGCCTCGTGTAGAGGCGAAACACGTGTCGTATTATCGTCGATGGTGTGTCTTACCTGCAATAGTGGTGTTGGGAGTAGTGGTGCTGGGACTAGTGGTGACGGAGTTAGTGCATGCAATTGAGGGAGGGCGGAGGTGCTTATTTAGCGGAAGGTTGCGAAGAAATTTATATTTTTATTTTTTATTATAATGGATTACCGCAATGTAACGCCTGATTCTATCAATTGTCTATATAAAGCCGTTGCCGCGCCGGGCCGCATCCGAGGCAGTATTGAATTAGCGGCATGCAAGCGAAGCTTCGGAGCGAAATAAAGTGAACTAAAGTGATCATTGTGATTAATTATTAGTGTGTTTAAAGTTTTAGTTGGTGTTTGGCAATTAAAGTGATAATTTTGGTAATTCAATCGGCCGTTTTTATTGTCATGAAGCCTCAGCTCGTAACAATAATAAAGTATTAAACGTTGCCGAACGTGACGTAAAGGGGTTGCACTCAGCATTTAGCGCGGCGAACCACGGCCGCTGTAATGGCCCAAGTCGCCCAGCGAGATACCCACCAGAAAAAAATTGGTGATGGATTACCCCAATACCACACTTCTTACTTATAAACCAACGTTGAACAGTGGATTTGAAAGGTTATCATGATGAGAATGATGACTACGATGATGACGGAGCATTATATATTAGGCTACTTGCCTTTTTGCTTGAATTGTAAACGAATTTGTTAATTACAGAACTGCGACTTTGATATGGAGTTTGTTGAGAGGCGGAGAACTCTTAGGGACAGTATACAAACTGAGCCGGGTAACCTGAGCAACAGCCGGATATCCGACATTTCCACCGGGAACGAGTGAGTATTTATACGCATCTGTGACCATTTTTGCATGAAGTCGACGCACCTGTAGCGTTCTTTAGTTGAAATACATGGTATGTATCTACAGGCTGCTGTGGTTACTTAACGTCAAATAATTTTTGCTTTTGTAAAGCACTTTCCTTAAGTTAATAAAGCTACGCCAACGCTTCAACAAGTTCCTGCTGAAAGATGTTGTGAGAAACAGCTGCAAAAAAACTCACAAGTAAATTATTTTTCTCCCAACTGTAACATTTTAATCTTAAAATATGTATATTTTTACTTAAGTATATGTACTAAAGTAAAAAAGGTCAAAAAGGTCATTATATCCACTTTTATACAGTGGCGTAGCTATGTAACCAAGTACCCCGGGGCAAAAATGAAATTGGAAGCCTGTGTTGTGTATACAGGTTTTGACGACTCCGTGGCTCAGTGGCTTAACAATGAGTGGCTGCGCTAGGGGTCGCGGGTTCGAATCCCGCACGGAACATGTATTTGTATGGCCTACAAATAATTGTTCCGGGTCTGGATGTTTGTCCTTGTGCAATTTATGTTTGTAAACTGCCTCCACGATACAGGAGAAAATCCTAGTGTAGGGGTAACGTTTTTTTAAAGAGAGTATGTAAACTAAACTCTTTAAAGGTGCAAAACTACTTAATAATCAGCTCCTTATCGCCCACTGCGGGACAAAATAAAGCATATTTAATTACTACAGTAGATTACAATTATTATTATAGATAAACAAAAAACGAAGTAAGCAATTTTGTTTTAACAATGTTATGTTTATCTTCTGGAGGTGGAATGGGAGAAAGTTTAGTGATTTCAGTTTGAGAAATTCTAGGATTGGTGGTAAGTGTTGGCCAGTGTCACAAAGTCGAAAATTGAAAATTATTCTACTAGGATATTGAAATCTTTTTTCGAACGTCATTCATGGAGGCTAAAGGGCCCTAGAACTTGATGGTCCCAGGGTACTCGCCTAGCCCTACCGTAGCTACGCCACTACTTTTTTATTTTGAGTGCATTCTTATATTTTTAATGGATTTAATTTATGATATCTTTTCTAAACTTTTTTCAATTTGTGCAAAGGCAACTTAGTAATATAACAGGGAATTTTGTAATAATATATAGTTATATATCTACCCAAAAATGGGCGGCCTATATTGTTTTATGAAGGATAACTATCTTAGAAAAATTATGTAATTCGTCCTTAAGGACTGCTTGTCATTCAATCTCGGCGTTTGTCGACGCACATCAAACTCGTGTCTTTAGAACAACCTTTGTAATGGATGTAACTGGCACGCGTTTGTTTTTTTGGTAATTGATGGTTTGGTAATGGATGTAGCTGGCACGCGTTTGTTTTTTGGTAATGGATGGTTTGGTAATGGATGTAGCTGGCACGCGTTTGTTTTTTGGTAATGGATGGTTTGGTAATGGATGTAGCTGGCACGCGTTTGTTTTTTGGTAATGGATGGTTTGGTAATGGATGTAGCTGGCACGCGTTTGTTTTTTGGTAATGGATGGTTTGGTAATGGATGTAGCTGGCACGCGTTTGTTTTTTGGTAATGGATGGTTTGGTAATGGATGTAGCTGGCACGCGTTTGTTTTTTGGTAATGGATGGTTTGGTAATGGATGTAGCTGGCACGCGTTTGTTTTTTGGTAATGGATGGTTTGGTAATGGATGTAGCTGGCACGCGTTTGTTTTTTGGTAATGGATGGTTTGGTAATGGATGTAGCTGGCACGCGTTTGTTTTTTGGTAATGGATGGTTTGGTAATGGATGTAGCTGGCACGCGTTTGTTTTTTTGGTAATGGATGGTTTGGTAATGGATGTAGCTGGCACGCGTTTGTTTTTTGGTAATGGATGGTTTGGTAATGGATGTAGCTGGCACGCGTTTGTTTTTTGGTAATGGATGGTTTGGTAATGGATGTAGCTGGCACGCGTTTGTTTTTTGGTAATGGATGGTTTGGTAATGGATGTAGCTGGCACGCGTTTGTTTTTTGGTAATGGATGGTTTGGTAATGGATGTAGCTGGCACGCGTTTGCTTTTTGGTAATGGATGGTTTGGTAATGGATGTAGCTGGCACGCGTTTGTTTTTTGGTAATGGATGGTTTGGTAATGGATGTAGCTGGCACGCGTTTGTTTTTTGGTAATGGATGGTTTGGTAATGGATGTAGCTGGCACGCGTTTGTTTTTTGGTAATGGATGGTTTGGTAATGGATGTAGCTGGCACGCGTTTGTTTTTTGGTAATGGATGGTTTGGTAATGGATGTAGCTGGCACGCGTTTGTTTTTTGGTAATGGATGGTTTGGTAATGGATGTAGCTGGCACGCGTTTGTTTTTTGGTAATGGATGGTTTGGTAATGGATGTAGCTGGCACGAGTTTGTTTTTTGGTAATGAATGGTTTGGTAATGGATGTAGCTGGCACGCGTTTGTTTTTTGGTAATGGATGGTTTGGTAATGGATGTAGCTGGCACGTGTTTGTTTTTTGGTAATGGATGGTTTGGTAATGGATGTAGCTGGCACGCGTTTGTTTTTTTGGTAATGGATGGTTTGGTAATGGATGTAGCTGGCACGCGTTTGTTTTTTGGTAATGGATGGTTTGGTAATGGATGTAGCTGGCACGCGTTTGTTTTTGGTAATGGATGGTTTGGTAATGGATGTAGCTGGCACGCGTTTGTTTTTTGGTAATGGATGGTTTGGTAATGAATGGTTTGGTAATGGATGTAGCTGGCACGCGTTTGTTTTTTGGTAATGGATGGTTTGGTAATGGATGTAGCTGGCACGCGTTTGTTTTTTGGTAATGGATGGTTTGGTAATGGATGTAGCTGGCACGCGTTTGTTTTTTGGTAATGGATGGTTTGGTAATGGATGTAGCTGGCACGCGTGTGTTTTTTGGTAATGGATGGTTTGGTAATGGATGTAGCTGGCACGCGTTTGTTTTTTAGTAATGGATGGTTTGGTAATGGATGTAGCTGGCACGCGTTTGTTATTTTGGTAATGGATGGTTTGGTAATGGATGTAGCTGGCACGCGTTTGTTTTTTGGTAATGGATGGTTTGGTAATGGATGTAGCTGGCACGCGTTTGTTTTTTGGTAATGGATGGTTTGGTAATGGATGTAGCTGGCACGCGTTTGTTTTTTGGTAATGGATGGTTTGGTAATGGATGTAGCTAGCACGCGTTTGTTTTTTGGTAATGGATGGTTTGGTAATGGATGTAGCTGGCACGCGTTTGTTTTTTGGTAATGGATGTAGCTGGCACGCGTTTGTTTTTTGGTAATGGATGGTTTGGTAATGGATGTAGCTGGCACGCGTTTGTTTTTTGGTAATGGATGGTTTGATAATGGATGTAGCTGGCACGCGTTTGTTTTTTGGTAATGGATGGTTTGGTAATGGATGTAGCTGGCACGCGTTTGTTTTTTGGTAATGGATGGTTTGGTAATGGATGTAGCTGGCACGCGTTTGTTTTTTGGTAATGGATGGTTTGGTAATGGATGTAGCTGGCACGCGTTTGTTTTTTGGTAATGGATGGTTTGGTAATGGATGTAGCTGGCACGCGTTTGTTTTTTTGGTAATGGATGGTTTGGTAATGGATGTAGCTGGCACGCGTTTGTTTTTTGGTAATGGATGGTTTGGTAATGGATGTAGCTGGCACGCGTTTGTTTTTTGGTAATGGATGGTTTGGTAATGGATGTAGCTGGCACGCGTTTGTTTTTTGGTAATGGATGGTTTGGTAATGGATGTAGCTGGCACGCGTTTGTTTTTTTGGTAATGGATGGTTTGGTAATGGATGTAGCTGGCACGCGTTTGTTTTTTGGTAATGGATGGTTCGGTAATGGATGTAGCTGGCACGCGTTTGTTTTTTTGGTAATGGATGGTTTGGTAATGGATGTAGCTGGCACGCGTTTGTTTTTTGTAATGGATGGTTTGGTAATGGATGTAGCTGGCACGCGTTTGTTTTTTGGTAATGGATGGTTTGGTAATGGATGTAGCTGGCACGCGTTTGTTTTTTGGTAATGGATGGTTTGGTAATGGATGTAGCTGGCACGCGTTTGTTTTTTGGTAATGGATGGTTTGGTAATGGATGTAGCTGGCACGCGTTTGTTTTTTGGTAATGGATGGTTTGGTAATGGATGTAGCTGGCACGCGTTTGTTTTTTGGTAATGGATGGTTTGATAATGGATGTAGCTGGCACGCGTTTGTTTTTTGGTAATGGATGTAGCTGGCACGCGTTTGTTTTTTGGTAATGGATGTAGCTGGCACGCGTTTGTTTTTTTGTAATGGATGGTTTGGTAATGGATGTAGCTGGCACGCGTTTGTTTTTTGGTAATGGATGGTTTGGTAATGGATGTAGCTGGCACGCGTTTGTTTTTTGGTAATGGATGGTTTGGTAATGGATGTAGCTGGCACGCGTTTGTTTTTTTGTAATGGATGGTTTGGTAATGGATGTAGCTGGCACGCGTTTGTTTTTTGGTAATGGATGGTTTGGTAATGGATGTAGCTGGCACGCGTTTGTTTTTTGGTAATGGATGGTTTGGTAATGGATGTAGCTGGCACGCGTTTGTTTTTTGGTAATGGATGGTTTGGTAATGGATGTAGCTGGCACGCGTTTGTTTTTTGGTAATGGATGGTTTGGTAATGGATGTAGCTGGCACGCGTTTGTTTTTTTGGTAATGGATGGTTTGGTAATGGATGTAGCTGGCACGCGTTTGTTTTTTGGTAATGGATGGTTTGATAATGGATGTAGCTGGCACGCGTTTGTTTTTTGGTAATGGATGGTTTGGTAATGGATGTAGCTGGCACGCGTTTGTTTTTGGTAATGGATGGTTTGGTAATGGATGTAGCTGGCACGCGTTTGTTTTTTGGTAATGGATGGTTTGGTAATGGATGTAGCTGGCACGCGTTTATTTTTTGGTAATGGATGGTTTGGTAATGGATGTAGCTGGCACGAGTTTGTTTTTTGGTAATGGATGGTTTGGTAATGGATGTAGCTGGCACGC